ACCGCCTACCTTGGGTATAAAAGCGATGGAGGACGGCATTCAACAGGTGCCCCATCATCTCAAGTCAAAGTAGGTTCTTTCTACTCTTTCTCACTTCCGAACTAATCATTTTTTAAACTTTAGATGTCTGATATCAAGAAGCTCGAGCTTGAGGCTCACTCCCTCCGCCGTGTGGCCTTCTTCGGAGTCGCCATCTCCACCGTCGCCACCTTGGTGTGCGTCTTGTCTGTGCCAATGCTCTACAACTACATGCAGCACATGCAATCCGTTATGCAATCCGAGGTCGACTTCTGCCGCTCCCGATCCGGAAACATCTGGAGAGAAGTGACCCGCACCCAGGTTCTCGCTAAGGTCTCTGGAGGAGCTATCCGTTCCCGCCGTCAAGCCGGATACGAAAGCCTCGGAGTTGAAGGATCCCACTCGTCTGCTGGAGGATGCTGCGGATGCGGAGTCTCCGCTCAGGGACCACCAGGACCACCAGGACCAGACGGATAGGATGGAGCCGATGGACAGCCAGGAGCCCCAGGAAACGATGGACCAGACGGACCAGCCGCCACTCCAGCCCCACATCACGAATTCTGCTTCGATTGCCCAGCTGGACCAGCCGGACCAGCCGGACCAGCCGGACCAAAGTGACCAAACGGAAACCTAGGATCCGATGGACAGCCAGGAGCCCCAGGAAACGCCGGAGCCCCAAGAGCCCCAGGAGCCCCAGGACAGCCAGGAGCCGACGGACACCCAGGAAACCCAGGAGCCCCAGGAGCCCCAGGACAAGTTCGCGATGTCCCAGCCCCAGCCGGACCACCAGGTAAATATAGTCTTGATATGACATTAACTCATTTGTTATTATTCAGGACCACCAGGACCAGATGGACCAGCCGGGCCTGCTGGAAACCCAGGATCCCCAGGAAACCCAGGATCCCAAGGACCACAAGGACCACCAGGAGACAATGGAGCTCCAGGAGCCCCAGGACAGCCAGGAAAGAACGGAGACAATGGAGCCGATGGAGAGACCGGAGCCCCAGGAGGTTGCGACCACTGCCCACCACCAAGAACCGCCCCAGGATATTAATATTCTTTCAACTTCATCTCCAATGCTTTTATGCGCTGCATTACTTCATACCTCAAATCATAAACTATTCACATAAATCTGTACTATTTGATGCGTTTGAAAAGAATGAAAATGGGATAAAAAAGAATATGGGCTTCGATTGATTGCATGCAATTTTTATAACAAAAACTTATTGGTTGAAAGAACATCGACGAATTTTCAGCTAAAAATTAAAAGATGACTATAAAATAAGTCAATAGATGTACCTATACAGCAACCTTTTGTTGAACGAATAAAAATCATATTTAATGCAACAGAACCATTTTTCTATACCTTTTGAATGAATTCAAAGACATAAATTAGTAATGTGAAGGAGTTATTATATGACTTGGGTGATCGTTGTAAAAATATTTTTTTCAATATTCGGAAAAAACATCATTATGAAAAAAATTGAGTCCTGGGTAAAACATATTTTGTATAATCTACCCTAATCGGTATTTATTTCAATTCTGGTTTGTTTCAATAAGAAAAAGATTCATGTAAAGGGCTGAAATTTGCAAAACAATTATTAATTTTAAAATAACAATAGAATAAGTTGACTGCTAGAACTTCAAAATGATTATGCGATTTTACTGTTTAAACAATATCGAATAATTAATTATGACGCCGAATGTTTTCTTAGCAAGCAATCTTTCAAAAACAATAAATCAACAACGACTTGTGGCAATACCTTATACATCAGCATCAAACTGAAGATTTGTGAATGATTCGCGTCTTAAATTAATACTTTAGATGAGGTATCTCGTATGTTCTTAGATGAAATTGAACAAAAATTATAATTACAAACCACACATGAAGCCTCTGGTAGCTCCAAACGGATATATTGTAGCCTTTGAAAATCATGCTAACATGATTGTTCTATTATTTTCGAAAAGAAACGTGATTTATCAGTTCCAAGTGTGTAACAAATTTTTGAATTCCAGATGAAGCTCAAAGGCAATATTGAATGAATTTTGGTCTATTATAATATGCAGCCGACAAATCTTACTTCACAATTTAGTTTCTTGCTTGGTATGCATATCATGATTCAAAATTATGAATGAGGTTCCAGCAATATATGCATTGAAATAATTTATAAATTTGAAACAATTCACAAATAACCATTTTGAATAACAATCGAATATCAATCAAAAGTGAAACGAATATCAATAATTGTCTCATTTTTCCTAATAAGATTTGATCGTTTTTTTTTTCAAAAGTGAGAGGGCTTACACCTGAGTTCCTCAAAGTATAATACTAGATTGCCAAAGACACAGTTTGGCAAATAATCGTAAAATTTTAATTTGTATTCCCCCCTCTTAAGAAGCTTCATCAAATGCCGCCAATTCCACCAAATTAAACCTCATTTTTACGACACATCGTCCTTGCGATAAATTTGTATATCTCAAGGCATCAAAAATCGTTACCGGGTCCACTTTCATTTAAAATCAAGGCATACAATTTTAACAATGGTGGCATTATGTAACCGAATAATAGTCATGCTATGCGAAGTAATTAGTACTTATAGTTGCAATTACAGCGTTGCATATTTTGTACGTCAGCGGAGAACAAAAACCGTTAGAAACGAAATTGGAATATTTTGCATTCATATTGCGCTTCCTTGTTCAAACCGCATTGAAAATTGTCACTCATTTGAAGTCGACAAATTGATAATATTAAATCAACACCGTTGCTTAACCGCCGCAATTATCGACCAGTCGGCATTTTCATAGACGGTTTTTTTTGGAAAACCTCTAGAACTTTTACATATCTGGGTTCACTGTCTCCGCCTTCATGCAACGTCCTCGTCTTGTCTCTTGATCGATCGCGTTTTGTCTCAATCGCCGCCTACCGTGGGTATATAAGGGCGAGAGGACTGCATTCAACAGGTGCCCCATCATCTCAAGTCAAAGTAGGTTTTTAGAAAAAAAGAAACTTCTGTTTTCAATTCGATTGTATCAATTTTCTAGATGTCGGATATCAAGCAGCTCGAGCTTGAGGCTCACTCCCTCCGCCGTGTGGCCTTCTTCGGAGTCGCCATCTCCACCGTCGCCACGTTGGTGTGCGTCTTGTCTGTGCCAATGCTCTACAACTACATGCAGCACATGCAATCCGTGATGCAATCCGAGGTCGACTTCTGCCGCTCCCGATCCGGAAACATCTGGAGAGAGGTGACCCGCACCCAAGTTCTCGCTAAGGTCTCTGGAGGAGCCATCCGTTCCCGCCGTCAAGCCGGATACGAAAGTCTCGGAGTTGAGGGATCCCACTCGTCTGCTGGAGGATGCTGCGGATGCGGAGTCTCCGCTCAAGGACCACCAGGACCACCAGGACCAGACGGAGAGGATGGAGCCGATGGACAGCCAGGAGCCCCAGGAAACGATGGACCAGACGGACCAGCCGCCACTCCAGCCCCACACCACGAATTCTGCTTCGATTGCCCAGCTGGACCAGCCGGACCAGCCGGACCAGCCGGACCAAAGGGACCAAACGGAAACCCAGGATCCGATGGACAGCCAGGCGCTCCAGGAAACGCCGGAGCCCCAGGAGCCCCAGGAGCCCCAGGACAGCCAGGAGCCGACGGACACCCAGGAAACCCAGGAGCCCCAGGAGCCCCAGGACAAGTTCGCGATGTTCCAGCCCCAGCCGGACCACCAGGTAAATATACTCTTAATATGAATTCAACTCATTTCTCATTTTTCAGGACCACCAGGACCAGACGGACCAGCCGGACCAGCCGGATCCCCAGGAGCCCCAGGAAACCCAGGATCCCAAGGACCACAAGGGCCAGCTGGAGACAACGGAGCCCCAGGAGCCCCAGGACAGCCAGGAAAGAACGGAGACAATGGAGCCGATGGAGAGACCGGAGCCCCAGGAGGTTGCGATCACTGCCCACCACCAAGAACCGCCCCAGGATATTAATTTCATTTCCACCGCATCTCCAACGCTTTTCTGCGTTGCCTGTCTTTCCAATTACCTCGAAAATAAAATATTCCATTATATTATTCATAGCTCGTTGCAATAGAAGAAATGGTATGATCGAAAAAAACACATGTACAGCACAGCACTTGAAGGTCTTTTAAATTTGAATTTTCGTCGAGAACTAGATTATTCTTATCACCTCTTCGATCTCGAAAAGTAGTTCAATGACATTAAACAAAACATTCACGCAATTGGTGACATCACAACCATCTAACAATTTATTACAAAAAGAGTGGAATGTGATGGGTTAATAAGGATTAATGTGTACCCAAGTATTTTTTGAAGAAAAAATAACCCAGATATGAAAGAATAAGACATATTTTCGAGAATAAAAATATAATTAAAAGGGTTATACACATAATTCAGTATTTCAGTTTAGATAAATGATAATCACTCCGAAGAGAAAATTCATCAGGTAATTTGAATTTCCAAGCATTTCTTCTATTGATAGCGTAGAATTTGACAACTATTCTCACAAATTTCGCGAAAATTAATTAAACTTATCAAATCTACTGGACAGTTTCCATTGTTCCATTCTTACCTGTATTTCAGATTGATTTGAAATCTCGCGGAATTACGCTTCGGTTTTATTAGTTTTGTGTAATGCTGGTTATCGGCATCTTCTTGATTTATCCATGAAGGGCTGCACGATTTTCGAATTGCATTCCACTACTTTCACTTTTTATTTTTAGAACCATATTTTCCCTCATAAATATCCAAGCAATTCGTTTCAAAAGCAATTAATCCTTATTAAAAATATAATGCAGGAACTTCCGAATTGAAAATTGTCCTTCTCACTTCAGAGACACTCGCGTATCGCTAGAACTTCATCATATCTCGGTTTACTGACCCCGCCCCTACTGACGTTGTCGTTTTTCTCTTGATCGTTTGCGTTCTGACAAAATCACCGCCTACCTTGGGTATAAAAGCGATGGAGGACGGCATTCAACAGGTGCCCCATCATCTCAAGTCAAAGTAGGTTCTTTCTACTCTTTCTCACTTCCGAACTAATCATTTTTTAAACTTTAGATGTCTGATATCAAGAAGCTCGAGCTTGAGGCTCACTCCCTCCGCCGTGTGGCCTTCTTCGGAGTCGCCATCTCCACCGTCGCCACCTTGGTGTGCGTCTTGTCTGTGCCAATGCTCTACAACTACATGCAGCACATGCAATCCGTTATGCAATCCGAGGTCGACTTCTGCCGCTCCCGATCCGGAAACATCTGGAGAGAAGTGACCCGCACCCAGGTTCTCGCTAAGGTCTCTGGAGGAGCTATCCGTTCCCGCCGTCAAGCCGGATACGAAAGCCTCGGAGTTGAAGGATCCCACTCGTCTGCTGGAGGATGCTGCGGATGCGGAGTCTCCGCTCAGGGACCACCAGGACCACCAGGACCAGACGGATAGGATGGAGCCGATGGACAGCCAGGAGCCCCAGGAAACGATGGACCAGACGGACCAGCCGCCACTCCAGCCCCACATCACGAATTCTGCTTCGATTGCCCAGCTGGACCAGCCGGACCAGCCGGACCAGCCGGACCAAAGTGACCAAACGGAAACCTAGGATCCGATGGACAGCCAGGAGCCCCAGGAAACGCCGGAGCCCCAAGAGCCCCAGGAGCCCCAGGACAGCCAGGAGCCGACGGACACCCAGGAAACCCAGGAGCCCCAGGAGCCCCAGGACAAGTTCGCGATGTCCCAGCCCCAGCCGGACCACCAGGTAAATATAGTCTTGATATGACATTAACTCATTTGTTATTATTCAGGACCACCAGGACCAGATGGACCAGCCGGGCCTGCTGGAAACCCAGGATCCCCAGGAAACCCAGGATCCCAAGGACCACAAGGACCACCAGGAGACAATGGAGCTCCAGGAGCCCCAGGACAGCCAGGAAAGAACGGAGACAATGGAGCCGATGGAGAGACCGGAGCCCCAGGAGGTTGCGACCACTGCCCACCACCAAGAACCGCCCCAGGATATTAATATTCTTTCAACTTCATCTCCAATGCTTTTATGCGCTGCATTACTTCATACCTCAAATCATAAACTATTCACATAAATCTGTACTATTTGATGCGTTTGAAAAGAATGAAAATGGGATAAAAAAGAATATGGGCTTCGATTGATTGCATGCAATTTTTATAACAAAAACTTATTGGTTGAAAGAACATCGACGAATTTTCAGCTAAAAATTAAAAGATGACTATAAAATAAGTCAATAGATGTACCTATACAGCAACCTTTTGTTGAACGAATAAAAATCATATTTAATGCAACAGAACCATTTTTCTATACCTTTTGAATGAATTCAAAGACATAAATTAGTAATGTGAAGGAGTTATTATATGACTTGGGTGATCGTTGTAAAAATATTTTTTTTCAATATTCGGAAAAAACATCATTATGAAAAAAATTGAGTCCTGGGTAAAACATATTTTGTATAATCTACCCTAATCGGTATTTATTTCAATTCTGGTTTGTTTCAATAAGAAAAAGATTCATGTAAAGGGCTGAAATTTGCAAAACAATTATTAATTTTAAAATAACAATAGAATAAGTTGACTGCTAGAACTTCAAAATGATTATGCGATTTTACTGTTTAAACAATATCGAATAATTAATTATGACGCCGAATGTTTTCTTAGCAAGCAATCTTTCAAAAACAATAAATCAACAACGACTTGTGGCAATACCTTATACATCAGCATCAAACTGAAGATTTGTGAATGATTCGCGTCTTAAATTAATACTTTAGATGAGGTATCTCGTATGTTCTTAGATGAAATTGAACAAAAATTATAATTACAAACCACACATGAAGCCTCTGGTAGCTCCAAACGGATATATTGTAGCCTTTGAAAATCATGCTAACATGATTGTTCTATTATTTTCGAAAAGAAACGTGATTTATCAGTTCCAAGTGTGTAACAAATTTTTGAATTCCAGATGAAGCTCAAAGGCAATATTGAATGAATTTTGGTCTATTATAATATGCAGCCGACAAATCTTACTTCACAATTTAGTTTCTTGCTTGGTATGCATATCATGATTCAAAATTATGAATGAGGTTCCAGCAATATATGCATTGAAATAATTTATAAATTTGAAACAATTCACAAATAACCATTTTGAATAACAATCGAATATCAATCAAAAGTGAAACGAATATCAATAATTGTCTCATTTTTCCTAATAAGATTTGATCGTTTTTTTTTTCAAAAGTGAGAGGGCTTACACCTGAGTTCCTCAAAGTATAATACTAGATTGCCAAAGACACAGTTTGGCAAATAATCGTAAAATTTTAATTTGTATTCCCCCCTCTTAAGAAGCTTCATCAAATGCCGCCAATTCCACCAAATTAAACCTCATTTTTACGACACATCGTCCTTGCGATAAATTTGTATATCTCAAGGCATCAAAAATCGTTACCGGGTCCACTTTCATTTAAAATCAAGGCATACAATTTTAACAATGGTGGCATTATGTAACCGAATAATAGTCATGCTATGCGAAGTAATTAGTACTTATAGTTGCAATTACAGCGTTGCATATTTTGTACGTCAGCGGAGAACAAAAACCGTTAGAAACGAAATTGGAATATTTTGCATTCATATTGCGCTTCCTTGTTCAAACCGCATTGAAAATTGTCACTCATTTGAAGTCGACAAATTGATAATATTAAATCAACACCGTTGCTTAACCGCCGCAATTATCGACCAGTCGGCATTTTCATAGACGGTTTTTTTGGAAAACCTCTAGAACTTTTACATATCTGGGTTCACTGTCTCCGCCTTCATGCAACGTCCTCGTCTTGTCTCTTGATCGATCGCGTTTTGTCTCAATCGCCGCCTACCGTGGGTATATAAGGGCGAGAGGACTGCATTCAACAGGTGCCCCATCATCTCAAGTCAAAGTAGGTTTTTAGAAAAAAAGAAACTTCTGTTTTCAATTCGATTGTATCAATTTTCTAGATGTCGGATATCAAGCAGCTCGAGCTTGAGGCTCACTCCCTCCGCCGTGTGGCCTTCTTCGGAGTCGCCATCTCCACCGTCGCCACGTTGGTGTGCGTCTTGTCTGTGCCAATGCTCTACAACTACATGCAGCACATGCAATCCGTGATGCAATCCGAGGTCGACTTCTGCCGCTCCCGATCCGGAAACATCTGGAGAGAGGTGACCCGCACCCAAGTTCTCGCTAAGGTCTCTGGAGGAGCCATCCGTTCCCGCCGTCAAGCCGGATACGAAAGTCTCGGAGTTGAGGGATCCCACTCGTCTGCTGGAGGATGCTGCGGATGCGGAGTCTCCGCTCAAGGACCACCAGGACCACCAGGACCAGACGGAGAGGATGGAGCCGATGGACAGCCAGGAGCCCCAGGAAACGATGGACCAGACGGACCAGCCGCCACTCCAGCCCCACATCACGAATTCTGCTTCGATTGCCCAGCTGGACCAGCCGGACCAGCCGGACCAGCCGGACCAAAGGGACCAAACGGAAACCCAGGATCCGATGGACAGCCAGGAGCCCCAGGAAACGCCGGAGCCCCAGGAGCCCCAGGAGCCCCAGGACAGCCAGGAGCCGACGGACACCCAGGAAACCCAGGAGCCCCAGGAGCCCCAGGACAAGTTCGCGATGTTCCAGCCCCAGCCGGACCACCAGGTAAATATGCTCTTAATATGAATTCAACTCATTTCTCATTTTTCAGGACCACCAGGACCAGACGGACCAGCCGGACCAGCCGGATCCCCAGGAGCCCCAGGACACCCAGGATCCCAAGGACCACAAGGACCACCAGGAGACAACGGAGCCCCAGGAGCACCAGGACAGCCTGGAAGAAACGGAGACAATGGAGCCGATGGAGAGACCGGAGCCCCAGGAGGTTGCGACCACTGCCCACCACCAAGAACAGCCCCAGGATATTAAATATGATCCGGTTTATGTATATCTATTCTTATTGTGCTTCGCACATTCTTCGCCAAAACGTGACACATAAAATATGATTAAAATCAATCAAATGTCGAACGAACGCAATCAAATAAAAAAAAAGACAAAAGCAGCTATTCGAAAAACAAAACAATAATTAGTCGCAATTTGTTAATGACGGTGTTCTAAAATCCGATAATATGAAATTAGTGTTTTAAAGTGTGTCAAACATTTGTCTCTCGACCCAAACTAATAAATTGAAATCAATGGGGTTTGTTCAAATTTATGTTCAACAATCAATACGTTTAGAATAACGATGCGAATAGTATTTTCTAAAAATGATGAAGATTGAAAATTTTGTGATTAGAATGAGATCAAATTCTAATTAATGCCAAATTCATTCAGTTTGCATCAACGGAAACTATTTCCCCATTTTTACTAAAAGTACAATCTTTTTTCACAATGCGGCGCATTACAATCATGCCTCCCGCTGTTCTCCGGCCACTACTCAAAAAAATGCAAGGACGATTCAACTCACTCGTTAGCAGATTTCTATCGTTAGAGATTCAGCCATGTATCGACACGGGGGCCGAACACGAAATGCTTGGCATTTGCTTCCGCAATTCGAAAATTGTACTGCCATTGCGAATTAGAGCGGATTGAACCACTGGACGACATTTAGGAAAAAAACGTAGACGCCCTTCATTAAAAAAAACTCTCTGCAGCATTGTGGTGATCTGCTATTGGCATGAAGAACGCGTTCATTCCATAGAATGGAACGCAGTTTGATCAACAAATTCCTGACATTTGAAGGATATTTGATAGTAGATCAAATGTTGACATGACATAGGTATTTCACTTTTCCAAAATCATACTTCACAAAATGTTATTTATAATCAAAATCAACTGAAAAACAGGAGTCCAAGGAAACAAGTAAAGATTCACAGTACGTAAAAAGATAACTAGAGTTAAAGCATATCAAATAAAACCTCATACTACAGAGACGACTTCCCAAAGTTAGAACAATTAAAACAGTACACCCATGTATTATATACGCTCGTTAAAGGGGCAAATGAGAACTGTGAAAAAATGTAATATTAAAAAAAAATTTTTTGATTTTCGTATTCTTTTAAATTCAAGAAAATATATCGAATCATTTTTAGAAAAGATTTAGCGCAGTGGTCACTATAATTATGATCAGAGCAGTACTTAATATCTTATCTTTAATTTTTCAACCTTGAATTATTTCTGAATTATAATGAAATGTACACATTAATAATTTCAGTTTGATTGCATCTTCTTTATTCAACCAGCATTCAAATGTCATCTGCGTGTATTCAATTATTCTTACAATTTTTTCCTGGTTGCCATGTCACGACCTTGACGAAAACATAAGAAAGAGGAAGCTAATGATTTGCATGATCACGCTTGCATACAATAACACAAATTTCAAGTTCATTATGTCAGGTATTGCGGTTTCCCGCCCCCCCCACAAAACGTATCACCTATTTTGGCAATCAGTGTCTCTCATTTTTAAACATTATTTTTTTCATCTTCGCACTTGATCGCCCGCCCACAGAGGTATATAAATCGTTGATTAGCAACCTGAAGCATGTGTTCCGCATCCACTCGTTGAATCGTAAGTTATTAGATTCACAAACACAGATAACGCATTGAATTTTGAAGATGTCGGATATCAAGAAACTCGAGCTTGAAGCTCACTCCCTCCGCCGTGTGGCCTTCTTCGGAGTCGCCATCTCCACCGTCGCCACCTTGGTGTGCGTCTTGTCTGTGCCAATGCTCTACAACTACATGCAGCACATGCAATCCGTGATGCAATCCGAGGTCGACTTCTGCCGCTCCCGATCCGGAAACATCTGGAGAGAGGTGACCCGCACCCAAGTTCTCGCTAAGGTCTCTGGAGGAGCCATCCGTTCCCGCCGTCAAGCCGGATACGAAAGTCTCGGAGTTGAGGGATCCCACTCGTCTGCTGGAGGATGCTGCGGATGCGGAGTCTCCGCTCAAGGACCACCAGGACCACCAGGACCAGACGGAGAGGATGGAGCCGATGGACAGCCAGGAGCCCCAGGAAACGATGGACCAGACGGACCAGCCGCCACTCCAGCCCCACATCACGAATTCTGCTTCGATTGCCCAGCTGGACCAGCCGGACCAGCCGGACCAGCCGGACCAAAGGGACCAAACGGAAACCCAGGATCCGATGGACAGCCAGGAGCCCCAGGAAACGCCGGAGCCCCAGGAGCCCCAGGAGCCCCAGGACAGCCAGGAGCCGACGGACACCCAGGAAACCCAGGAGCCCCAGGAGCCCCAGGACAAGTTCGCGATGTTCCAGCCCCAGCCGGACCACCAGGTAAATATGCTCTTAATATGAATTCAACTCATTTCTCATTTTTCAGGACCACCAGGACCAGACGGACCAGCCGGACCAGCCGGATCCCCAGGAGCCCCAGGACACCCAGGATCCCAAGGACCACAAGGACCACCAGGAGACAACGGAGCCCCAGGAGCACCAGGACAGCCTGGAAGAAACGGAGACAATGGAGCCGATGGAGAGACCGGAGCCCCAGGAGGTTGCGACCACTGCCCACCACCAAGAACAGCCCCAGGATATTAAATATGATCCGGTTTATGTATATCTATTCTTATTGTGCTTCGCACATTCTTCGCCAAAACGTGACACATAAAATATGATTAAAATCAATCAAATGTCGAACGAACGCAATCAAATAAAAAAAAAGACAAAAGCAGCTATTCGAAAAACAAAACAATAATTAGTCGCAATTTGTTAATGACGGTGTTCTAAAATCCGATAATATGAAATTAGTGTTTTAAAGTGTGTCAAACATTTGTCTCTCGACCCAAACTAATAAATTGAAATCAATGGGGTTTGTTCAAATTTATGTTCAACAATCAATACGTTTAGAATAACGATGCGAATAGTATTTTCTAAAAATGATGAAGATTGAAAATTTTGTGATTAGAATGAGATCAAATTCTAATTAATGCCAAATTCATTCAGTTTGCATCAACGGAAACTATTTCCCCATTTTTACTAAAAGTACAATCTTTTTTCACAATGCGGCGCATTACAATCATGCCTCCCGCTGTTCTCCGGCCACTACTCAAAAAAATGCAAGGACGATTCAACTCACTCGTTAGCAGATTTCTATCGTTAGAGATTCAGCCATGTATCGACACGGGGGCCGAACACGAAATGCTTGGCATTTGCTTCCGCAATTCGAAAATTGTACTGCCATTGCGAATTAGAGCGGATTGAACCACTGGACGACATTTAGGAAAAAAACGTAGACGCCCTTCATTAAAAAAAACTCTCTGCAGCATTGTGGTGATCTGCTATTGGCATGAAGAACGCGTTCATTCCATAGAATGGAACGCAGTTTGATCAACAAATTCCTGACATTTGAAGGATATTTGATAGTAGATCAAATATTGACATGACATAGGTATTTCACTTTTCCAAAATCATACTTCACAAAATGTTATTTATAATCAAAATCAACTGAAAAACAGGAGTCCAAGGAAACAAGTAAAGATTCACAGTACGTAAAAAGATAACTAGAGTTAAAGCATATCAAATAAAACCTCATACTACAGAGACGACTTCCCAAAGTTAGAACAATTAAAACAGTACACCCATGTATTATATACGCTCGTTAAAGGGGCAAATGAGAACTGTGAAAAAATGTAATATTAAAAAAAAATTTTTGATTTTCGTATTCTTTTAAATTCAAGAAAATATATCGAATCATTTTTAGAAAAGATTTAGCGCAGTGGTCACTATAATTATGATCAGAGCAGTACTTAATATCTTATCTTTAATTTTTCAACCTTGAATTATTTCTGAATTATAATGAAATGTACACATTAATAATTTCAGTTTGATTGCATCTTCTTTATTCAACCAGCATTCAAATGTCATCTGCGTGTATTCAATTATTCTTACAATTTTTTCCTGGTTGCCATGTCACGACCTTGACGAAAACATAAGAAAGAGGAAGCTAATGATTTGCATGATCACGCTTGCATACAATAACACAAATTTCAAGTTCATTATGTCAGGTATTGCGGTTTCCCGCCCCCCCCCCCACAAAACGTATCACCTATTTTGGCAATCAGTGTCTCTCATTTTTAAACATTATTTTTTTCATCTTCGCACTTGATCGCCCGCCCACAGAGGTATATAAATCGTTGATTAGCAACCTGAAGCATGTGTTCCGCATCCACTCGTTGAATCGTAAGTTATTAGATTCACAAACACAGATAACGCATTGAATTTTGAAGATGTCGGATATCAAGAAACTCGAGCTTGAAGCTCACTCCCTCCGCCGTGTGGCCTTCTTCGGAGTCGCCATCTCCACCGTCGCCACCTTGGTGTGCGTCTTGTCTGTGCCAATGCTCTACAACTACATGCAGCACATGCAATCCGTGATGCAATCCGAGGTCGACTTCTGCCGCTCCCGATCCGGAAACATCTGGAGAGAGGTGACCCGCACCCAAGTTCTCGCTAAGGTCTCTGGAGGAGCCATCCGTTCCCGCCGTCAAGCCGGATACGAAAGCCTCGGAGTTGAAGGATCCCACTCGTCTGCTGGAGGATGCTGCGGATGCGGAGTCTCCGCTCAGGGACCTCCAGGACCACCAGGACCAGACGGAGAGGATGGAGCCGATGGACAGCCAGGAGCCCCAGGAAACGATGGACCAGACGGACCAGCCGCCACTCCAGCCCCACACCACGAATTCTGCTTCGATTGCCCAGCCGGACCAGCTGGACCAGCTGGACCAGCTGGACCAAAGGGACCAAACGGAAACCCAGGATTCGATGGACAGCCAGGTGCCCCAGGAAACCCAGGAGCCCCAGGAGCACCAGGAGCCCCAGGACAGGCAGGAGCCGACGGACACCCAGGAAACCCAGGAGCCCCAGGAGCCCCAGGACAAGTTCGCGATGTCCCAGCCCCAGCTGGACCACCAGGTAAATATAGTCTTGATATGACATTAACTCATTTGTTATTTTTAGGACCACCAGGACCAGATGGACCAGCCGGACCAGCTGGAAACCCAGGAGCCCCAGGAAACCCAGGATCCCAAGGACCACAAGGACCACCAGGAGACAACGGAGCCCCAGGAGCACCAGGACAGCCTGGAAGAAACGGAGACAATGGAGCCGATGGAGAGACCGGAGCCCCAGGAGGTTGCGACCACTGCCCACCACCAAGAACCGCTCCAGGATATTAAACTCTGTTGCATTATCACTTTTTTGCAATTTGAAAAGTGTCTATACCTTGATAAATTATTCATTTATCACTCATTTGTATTTTTTAATAAAAAATTCAATGACTCAATGAAATTGAGAATGCAATTAAATAATATGTCAAATAATATAATTTGATCACACAAATGCTATAGAAGATGGATTTTATCAAATTTCTCAAGTATTTTTTAATGAATGTCGTACGCGTAAGCTCTAACAAGGGAAAATGCTTTTGCTCTTAGAATTTTTTCTAATTAGCACACAAATAAAAATTTACTGTCGAGTCATTTATGCCGTTTTCTACAAGGACATAAAACTTTACCAAAAAAATTTACCATAGTTTCAGATTTGAACCACTGCTTTTTTTTACCAATGGATTGCAGGAATAATGAGATACTGAGCGAGGCATATTAGTCAACTTTGATATTGACTAGCCAAATTATCTGTCCATTTCCAAACTATGTATAGGCATAGTGCATTACGCACTATACTAAATACATGACATGACATCAGAAAGTCTTGCACTTTTTGACATATTGATTTTCTTCAGGTCAAGAAAGACTAAGGCAATACCAACTTTTATAAATATTCTATAGTGCACACCGATTCAACAGACAAGAAATCAAAAATTTTCTTCTAAAAATTATTATTAATATGTTAGAATATTTAAAAGAAATAGACATTATAAACAAGGAAGACAATTTTCTTTTTTTTTCACTACGTGCCGTTTTTCTAATTGAAATTTGTATCTTATAATCAAGAGGAAAAAAACCGCTAAAGATTCGCGATAGCCAAAAAAACTCGAATCGTTATCACGGCGAACTTGCAACGTAACGTGAATAGATATCGTGAGTAATATTCAATAGTTTATTTCCCAAAGTGCGAAAAAGAGGATAGCGCGATAATGATTGATGACACGGTTTTGAGATGTTTAATATCCTGGAGCGGTTCTTGGTGGTGGGCAGTGGTCGCAACCTCCTGGGGCTCCGGTCTCTCCATCGGCTCCATTGTCTCCGTTTCTTCCAGGCTGTCCTGGTGCTCCTGGGGCTCCGTTGTCTCCTGGTGGTCCTTGTGGTCCTTGGGATCCTGGGTGTCCTGGGGCTCCTGGGGATCCGGCCGGTCCGGCTGGTCCGTCTGGTCCTGGTGGTCCTGAAAAATAACAAATAGATTTAAGTCAGATTAGAATCATATTTACCTGGTGGTCCGGCTGGAGCTGGAACATCGCGAACTTGTCCTGGGGCTCCTGGGGCTCCGGGGTTTCCTGGGTGTCCGTCGGCTCCTGCCTGTCCTGGGGCTCCTGGTGCTCCTGGGGCTCCTGGGTTTCCTGGGGCACCTGGCTGTCCATCGAATCCTGGGTTTCCGTTTGGTCCCTTTGGTCCAGTTGGTCCAGCTGGTCCAGCTGGTCCGGCTGGGCAATCGATGCAGAATTCGTGGTGTGGGGCTGGAGTGGCGGCTGGTCCGTCTGGTCCATCGTTTCCTGGGGCTCCTGGCTGTCCATCGGCTCCATCCTCTCCGTCTGGTCCTGGTGGTCCTGGTGGTCCTTGAGCGGAGACTCCGCATCCGCAGCATCCTCCAGCAGACGAGTGGGATCCTTCAACTCCGAGGCTTTCGTATCCGGCTTGACGGCGGGAACGGATAGCTCCTCCAGAGACCTTAGTGAGAACCTGGGTGCGGGTCACTTCTCTCCAGATGTTTCCAGATCGGGAGCGACAGAAGTCGACCTCGGATTGCATAACGGATTGCATGTGCTGCATGTAGTTGTAGAGCATTGGCACCGACAAGACGCACACCAAGGTGGCGACGGTGGAGATGGCGACACCGAAGAATGCCACACGGCGAAGGGAGTGAGCTTCAAGCTCGAGCTGCTTGATATCGGACATGATCTAAATTAATAATGAATTCGTGTTGCTGAGGTTGAATTTAAAGAAGATTTTATATCTTATCATCTTCCGATCACGGTCTTTTATAGTAGTTTCGAAGATGAATAATGAAATTATTCGAATGGGCGGTCGTCGAAAAGAGAACATCATTGATGATGCGCAGAAATTTTTCGACACAACCACATTGAGGAAGTTCAACAATAAAGTCGCTTTGCCAGCAGTTGGAATAAATAATCAAGGCCAACCAAAAAGGCCACACTGATAAAATTAGAGGAAGTGAACAAAGATAGGATAGCATTGGCACTGCAATTATTTTCTCAAGAAAGTTTTGAACAATGACCATAGAAGTAACTTGAAGTTAGTTAGCCAACCGGTAAACAAAACTAGTGTAAACCGTAACCTAAAAAATTCATTAATCATTCACATTAATGTGGTGGCAAATGTGTTTCTTTTTTCGACAGTTTTTCTTCACATAAGAAACTTCATAAGACCATAATTAGGATTGTGTCATGAATGAATAATGTTCTTGGTTGCAAAAATGGAAAACGTTGTTGGAAAGCATATTGTCTTTTATGAATGAAACCGCTTTTTTTCTTTGGATTGAGTATAAAAGCGTATTCAAGCGTTCAGTTAGCAGATTCATTTGCATATTCATTAGTATTATGTCCGATCAGAAGAATAGCGAATTACGAGCTAATTCGCTGCGCCTTGTGGCCTTCTTTGGAGTCGCAATCTCCACCGTCGCCACGTTGGTGTGCGTCTTGTCGGTGCCAATGCTCTACAACTACATGCAGCACATGCAATCCGTTATGCAATCCGAGGTCGACTTCTGCCGATCCCGTTCAGGAAATATTTGGAGAGAGATGACTCGAACTCAAATTCTTTCCGATTACTCTGACACTGCCGGTCGAACGCGTCGTAGTGCTTACAGGCTCGGCGTTGACAAATCTCAAGCATTTTCCGGTGGGTGTTGCGGATGTGGAGTCTCTCCCGAAGGTCCTCCTGGTGCGCCAGGACCAGACGGAGAGGATGGAGCAGATGGACAGCCAGGAGCCCCAGGAAACAACGGCCCCGAATACATTTCTTCATCTCAGCAGCAACAACAACCAACGTGGTGCTTTGACTGCATTCCAGGACCAGAGGGCCCACCAGGACCTGAAGGACCAAAAGGTCCCGCGGGCAATCCTGGACAAGATGGTTTTCCAGGAGAGCCTGGAATTGATGGTATCCCAGGAGTCCCAGGATTCCCAGGTAATCCAGGACTTGATGGGCCGCCAGGAAATCCGGGAGCCCCAGGTGAACCTGGACAACTTATCGAAGTTCCTGCACCAGCTGGAGAACAAGGTAAACTATTTATAGTTTGATTGAGCTTATTAGAGCATTACATTCTTTAAGGACCACCAGGACCAGATGGGCCACCAGGTGAGCCAGGACTCCCTGGTCCTCCAGGAATTCAAGGAATCGATGGGCCTGACGGACAGCCCGGTGATGATGGATCCGATGGACCACCAGGAAATCCAGGAGAGCCTGGAGCGCCAGGAATTGATGGTGAAATTGGAGTTGCTGGAAGTTGCGATCATTGCCCACTTCCGAGAACAGCACCTGGTTACTAAATTCATATTTAACCGTTAATATTATAATGTTTATATATATCATATATGAGAAATTTGTATTTTACAAATAAAGGAAATATTACTCAAAATCCGTGCTCCTCAAATGACCCATAATGATTGAAAACCGTTCTATGCTGTTGAATACCACTGAATCGGTTTGAATCCAAAACATATTGTATCTAAAACGAGATTTTTTTCTGATTCGTTCTGAATTGGAAGATATTCGACAAACTTCCTCGTACGATTTTCCTCTCGTTTCTGGGAGATAGAGATAAATTAGAATTCCTGCGACAAACGCTGGTGCCGCAGCAAGAATTATAAGACTGAAGATTAATATTTTACACAGTCGATGCAATTCGAATTATATGCTAACCTATAGCTTCCTACTAGCGAATCAACCATTAGGTAGAAATAGGTCTCAATCATTGTTGAAGATAACAAAATTCCGGTCGACAATGGCTGGAAGATCCAAGCATAGTCGGGATCAACCTGCAACACGATTTTTCATGACATATTTGATGAAACAACTACCAATTCCGAAGTGATGAACCATGCGGGACCACCACACCCAAGTCCAATGAACATTTTGGTCATCGCGAAACACATTGCAACAAATAAGCGATCGGAATTGATTAATGAAGCCAATAAATTTGCCACGCATGTTCCAAATAATCCTGTTAGAACCAATTTACGACGACCGTAACGATCAGCCTATAATTAGAATAGTACAGGGTGCGGCAAAATTACGGGTGCATAATTTTGGCGCAAGCTCATAGTGCACTGTCGTATTTTTTGTGCAGTTTTATGTTTTTATTTTATTTTCTATGACGTTTTAATCATTTTCTGAAAGTTTCATGAAAATCCGTTTCGTATTACAAAAATGACAGCTGATTCTATTCATCGTGCGGCCATCATCGACTTGAAAAAAAAGGGAACATCGTTCAAAATTATTTCTAAAAACCTTGGAGTTCACCACAACACCGTACAAACAACTTGGAAACGTTTTGATGAGGTAGGAGGACTCTCTAGCTGTCTTAGAAAAGGAAGAAAATATTCTTTAATAACACCGGAGCGAGTCAGTCTCACCAGGGAACGAGTTCGTCGAAATCCAGATCGTAGCATCAGAAAGATGGCGTCAGAAGTCCATGTGAGTCCGAGATGGTGGGAAGAATAGTCAAAGATGAGCTGAACCTGATACCTTATCGTGTCAGAAAGGCCGCCATTCTAACCCAAAAAAATAAAGCAGGTCGAATGAAAAAGTGCAAATCGCTCCTAGCAGGCACGCGGCAAGGAAAGCACCCAACGACTTTCGTCATGGATGAGAAGCTGTTTACGGTAGAAGCTGCTTTCAATCTCCAAAACCACAGAGTGATCGCCAGAAGGTCTGAGGAAGCTATGAACAAAGGCAGAACCATTCATCGTGTTTCCCATACTCAGCAGATCATGGTATTCGGTGGGATCTGCGCTGACGGCAAGACACCACTGATTTCGTTGATCCCGGAGTGAAGATTGATCAAAATGACTATCTTAATGAGATTCTGAAGAAGAATGTCCTTTCTTGGTCCCAATCTCACTTCGGAAATAGATCTTGGACTTTTCAACAAGACTTAGCGCCTGCACAACGAGGCAATATCGTTCAAGACGGGTGCGGCAGCCATTTTCCATCATTTATCAAGTCAACAGATTGGCCCGCTTCGTCGCCCGACCTGAACCCCATGGACTATTCTGTCTGGGGGGTCTTGCAAGAGAAGGTGTCAGCTTTCCCACACCCAAATACGAACTCATGGAAAGCTGCCCTTCTGAAGGAATGGGACAAATTGGACCCCAAATACCTGCGTGCCACCGTCGACGCCTATCCGAAGCGTCTGAAGGAATTTATCAAGAATCGTGGTGGAAGAATCGAACAACGATAATTAATTTGTGATTGTTATGTGTTGAATAAATTTTGGTATTAATTTGAAAGAGTTTTGTTGATTTTTAAAAAAGTTATTTCGTTTTATTGATGCACCCGTAATTTTGCCGCACCCTGTATAAACATAGTGAAATTTTCAATTAGGCCTACCAAATATACACCAATCAATGAAGCGATGAATAAGACGACACCCAATGCGTCAGAAATTAGGATAGTGAATGCATCGGTAGATTGGTGAACGTTTTTTGGCGCGTTTTCACCCTGAAATTAGAATTCGATTTTTTAAGAAAAAATTGTAATGATGATTAAAGAGAATAATTATTTTTTTGTAGCATGATTTAAATGATATTCACTTTTTGTTACAAACATGTTAACTAGAAAAAACCAATCTTACAATCAACATATTGGCTGAGAAAGTATCAATCAAGTCGTCGCCTGTGAATGCATACGAGCACGCAACAACCACACCAATCAGAAAACCTTTCATTGAATGACGCCAATTTTTCCGCCTTAATATAATTTTGGTAGATATATTCACAAAATGACTCACAAGCTGTACTTTCTATTATGATTGGAATCTTCGAAATCATAATTAGAAATAAGCGGTCGGTAAGACTCGGAGCGATCCATTCCAAAGTAGAACATTTTGGATTCGGCGGCTTAAAAAAAATGGAAACTAATTTTGATCAATTCATTTTATCATACCCTCATGTATACATTCAGGCTTGAATTTTTTCAAATAATTTGGAGTCGGAGGGGTGATGATAAGCACGAAAAACAAAAACAACACCGGAACAAGTGCAATGATTTGCATAGTGATATATCTGAAGAATAATGGATCACAATTCGGATATTTAAATATATAATCCCACCTCGCATTACCCAGGGGTAGAATTTCTTCAGATCCGAAAATCAATCCAAGTAAAGTGGCAAATGACTGTGAGAGTTGCTATAAAATCATTATGTATTTTGCAAAATTTCTAGAAAACAATTGGTTATACCTGAAAGTTATTCAAGAATGCGCGATGAGCTGGGGGACTGATTTCAATAATATACAAGGGAAGGAGGCATAATGAGCTACCGGCTTGTAATCCAATCATCACTCGACCAAGGGAAAGAAGGGTTGCGAATAATGCTTCTCCTGAAATTAATTATTTAAGAAGGTTCGTAAAATGATTAAGCATACCCATATGGAGGAAATACAATGCCAGGATATGCACCATCACTCCACAAGTCGCTGCAAGGCATATCAAGCATTGCGCCTTTTTAATACCCATATTATTCGTTAGAAATGGCACCTGAAAATAAATATAATTCTGCTAATCAGTCTAAAATCAACCATGAAAAATCCTCCAATAGTTCCCGGATAGAACATACTGACGACGACACTCCATTCGGATAGCCACTCAGATTCTGGCATTGTGCAAGTCCGACATCCTTAAATTGAGAATCAATATTTTCGAAAACTTGATGGTAATCGAACCCCTCGATTCGCGATATGCAGTCTTCGCCAATTTGTAGAACGTATCAACAGATGTGTTCACATAAGTGATCTAGAAAAATTCATTTTTTAAACCAAATATAGTGCTGATTTCCAATTTTCAAATTTGGCACGTATATTGTTCCGGTTTTAAAACGTGTCTATTTGCAGGCGTTGCGTCGATTTTAAAGTTCTCATCCATTTTCAAATAAATTAGCATTGACATTTGCGTTAACAATCGGTGTGTCTTAAAACGAACTTGGAACGCAAAGGACCAATTGGCACAGAACGAAACGATGCCGGCCAAGATAACCAAACGCCATGGAGGTATGTTCATCAACTGCTCTAAATTACCCAAAATTTTCTCAAAATATTGATCGAAGGAATTGATAAGCCCAAATGAAGCAATTTTACTTTGATTAGATTTTTTTCGATGAGCCAACATAAATGTCAACCGACTAAAATAAAGAGAAATGAAAATAATTAAGGGGCAATCAATTTGTGATTTTGTGACAAGAGAAAGGCATAAAATGGGAAAAATTATTGAATAAGAATTTCATTTGAGGCGTTGATATTTTTTTAAACCAAAAACATGTGTCAATAATATTTCGATTTTTGACACAACACGAACAACAATGAAGTAAATGACATACAAAAAAACGCATCTATTAGAAAAAAAAATGAAAAAAAATTAGTGCAGAACAGATCACTCAGTAAAATTATGCTAGATTCGTGCGTTGATAAGATAAGATGATTGCCCTTACGCAGACCTAAGTAACACAGAAATTGCACATTTTTTAGACAAACGCTAGAAAACCGACAGCAACTTATGTCGGCAATGGCTTTTAATATCAGGAAAATTACCTGTTTTTACCAATTTCTTCAATTTAGAATATCGTATCATCTAGAACTACACGGAAAATTTAATTTCTGCAATGACGACACATACCAATATTGTTATAGAATTCACAGCATTGTTACGTTAATTTCGTACTCATCACGGAACATGTTTGTGCGGGCCCGGCAACGCTATGGTTGTTGCAATGAGTAGCGGCCTCACTGTTTATTTCATTTCGTAGCCTTGTGACTATTTCTAAATTTCGAAAGTTATTGATCAAAATATTTATTGATGAACAAACCATCATCAAATAAAATATCACGAAGATGAGTAATGAAAAAGCAAGTAACCGATTACAGGCTTTGTCAACGAAACTACTACCACGTTGATTACTACACGTGAAAAACAGCAATAGCTTAAAATTAAATGAACGTTAATTAAAGTGCAATGAAAGAGTGAAATACATCAGTTATAACATCGAAAAATATGAAATTACAATTTTTAAGAACATCTTTTTTAGACGCTGGCGTATCCTTGTCTCTTGGCACGAGCACGTCCGATGAGGTAGGCGACGAGAACGGCGATGACGAGAACTCCGAGGCACGCGGCAACGACAGCTGGGACAACCTTGCTGGTCTGGGAATCGGCGAGGCACTTGGCGAACTCTGAAGCAAGTCGAATTTTTTCTAGTAGAATAACTGAATGGATTTACTCTGATCAGACGGGAATTTGTCGCCGATAATCTGAGCGAACGCAATGATTCTGGAATCCTTAATCTCCATCGACGAATCACCGGTCAGACCAAGAAGAGCTGTTTGGCACTGTAATGAATTATTTCGAAAATTGTCTTGGATTTGTTGTATTTACCATGTAACCATTGACCTCGTTAGCAGTGACGTCTCCTGGCTGATTCGGATCTCTTTCGAAGCGGCCGAAATATGGAATGGTTTCGGTCATCTGAGTGCTGAGCGAGTAGTGAATGAGCTTGAAGGCCTCGCTACTCGATGAGCCGAACACGAAATTAAGCTCCCACGGCTTCGAGCGAAGAGCAGAGATACCATTAGGACGGAATTTGATCTGAGAATCGTCTATGGGTAATTTTAAGAAATTTGGATCACTCACGTTCAAGGTCTGGGCGGATTGGTTTTGATAAACGGCGTGGCAATCCCCATCGAAGCTGACTGTCTCATTATAAGTGGCAGTAAACTGCTCGGTTTTGTTATGAATGACAAATTGAAGCTGGAACTTAAAGTCACCATCGAGAATGATGCAAGCCTGATCGGTGCCATTGTTGTAGACGTAAAAGTGCTCAGCGGCACACACGGCGAACAGCGCACAGAAAACCGAAGCAAATTTGAACATCTGAAAAAATTGTAAATTGTTTTTGGGAGAGAAATAATGACAAAAAGAAATGAAGTGGACGGCAAGACAAGTGCGCGTTAAGTCAATTGAAACCTACGAGGAATCAATGTTTGCTCTAACTCTACTACAAAATATGGAGCCAATAGCGAATGAAAACACGAGCGAATCAACTGAGACATCACGTGCCTTTGCCGTTGTTTATGTATTTTGGTTTTGTCCACCTCGCCGCGGAATTGTTCGACATAAGCAATTTACATCGTTTCGCAAAATTTTCCAAAATGACGATGAGTGGGTGAATTGTGCATAAAAACTAGGCAGATAGCGTTAAAATGGTTTATCAGCAATGGCTGATAATTGAAAGAACCACTGATAAAACATATCGTTTTCCTAGTTAACCGATTCAGTCATATTCTTAAAAATTCGAAAGTATCATGATGGGATTAAAATGGAAATGATGATGAAATATGGTAAGTTGCAAGGCATCAATAAAAAGCGACCAACCACGACGAGAACATCGAAAACAACTGAGCAAAGGATGTTGATGATTAATCGCAAAACAGCGTTCCAAGCGAGGGACGCCGCGAGACCATTGTCAATGGAGCGCGCTTACTTCAACAGAGCCGTTAGCTCGGTTATATCTCGCAGCAATTCATTGAAACGAATGCCAGGGACACAGCAATCGAGGAAGATAAGATAAGGACATTTTCGATTATGGAATGGACACTATGTCAATTAACAGAACGCAAGAACCAATGCAAACAGCAGATATATATATATATTACAAAATAAATCGGCTAACACGTTTTTTTTTCAAGTTATAAATTCTTCAAAAAAAAATGTTATCTCTCCCTCTCTCTTCCAAAAAAAAAACTATGCCATATATATTTTGGAGGTTAAAGCGAATACAATATTTAATATGATAATCAACCCTTATAAGGTGCAATGAATATTTTATGACTTTTCGGGAGCCATTTCAATTTTACGACAATAGCGAAATCTTGATTCCAACCAATAAATGGTAGCCGAATAGGACTGATATCGATCTATGACTTACAAGATTGTGAAAAAAAAAACCTGAAAATTGGGTCATGGAAATGTCAAAATAAAATAAAAGTTTTAACTAAAAATACAACCCTACGCTGACATACCAACAGCCGACATATAAAGTAGAAATAAAAATTTTTCAGTTTGAGAAGAATGGCAAACTTTCCATTATACCCCATTACCTATAGTATGTGTGTTTGGGAACTTTGGCTGTTTGAAACCCCCCACCCTACCAACTTCCACGTGTGCAAATATTAAATCCAATAGCGTTTCGCCAATTGATAGTTTGTGTACTGTATAAATCATTAAAAATTGTGCGTCATTTATTCAGAAAATCATATATTTTTTTTCGCGATATTTACACATCGAAAAGCAAACGATGGCTATCAATCAATTGTTAACCCGACTAAAAGTGCATATGTGTGCCGATAACTAGATTCAAAAATGAGAAACGATTTAAATTTGTGACTGCTTGTACTCTCGCCGAAGTCGCTCCAATCGCAAGTCCTGATAAAGTTGTGGCGGTGGGTCGTCGGCGCTCAAAATGTAACGATCGCGGAACATATCGTCCACTGGATTCTCGTCGCCGGTCTCGAAGTCATATTCAACAAGGCTCTTAAATCAATAAAAGTTTTATAACAGATAAAATAATAATAATTGACAAAGTGGCCAAATATCGGATTAATTCTAATTGCGTTAAAACTAATAATATCTTACTTGGATTCTTATGAATATAAATATATAAGTTTTCTTAAAATAAAAAAATAGTTATTAAAATTGGCTATTTTGTTAATAAGATAGTATTACGAGATATTGTTTTTTGTCATTTCCCAATCTTTATACATACTTTGTAGCTATGAAATTAAATTGACTTTTTTAAATAATAAGTTGAGATGAGACTGTAATCACTTTAATTTTATGATTTTGAATTTTTTTCGATCACTAAAATCAAAAGTTAAAATTAGATTCCCCAATTACCTGTGGGTATCTTGCATACACCGGCTCGACATCTCGTGGGCCTCTCCATTCGTACTTCTCATCCAATAATCTCAATGAAGGTTCATAATATGTTTCAGTTCCAGGATGACTTGAATCCCCACTTCCACTATCTTAAAAAATTACATTGAATTTTTGTCAATTAAAATTGATTTAAAAACGCACCATAGGTGTATCTTCCAAATTCTTGATACGTTTTCATTGCAGATCCTCCTTTGCGTGATTTTTGCTTTTTCTTCTTTGAAGATGTGCTGCAGAGACGCCACAGGCAAATGAAGCAGCAGAAAAGGAACAATGATCCGAGAATTCCGCCAAGAAGGAGCAACGAGATTTCCATATTATCTGAATTCATTCGAAGCTAATAAAATGATTAAGATTTTAAATTACCTGATGGGCCAATTCTGAACGGGATACTCGGCTCACTTGGTTGGAATGCTGGACGTAAACTTTTCACACGATACAATACCATTTTCTCGTTTTCAATTTCTTTTCCAAGTCGATAATAATTCTCAGCAACTTCTGCGATGGGCTGATAGCTCTGGCCAGGTTCCATTTTTCGCTCCACTTGATACGAAATTGCTCCATCGGCAGGCGTCCAGCATAGTTCATTTCTTCCGCAAAAAAACAATTTCTCCGGCGGATATAAAGTTGAGCAACCTGAAAATGAAAAATGATTTATCATGATTTTTGAAGCGCCCTTACTTCGACGGTTAAAAGTTGTCGAATTTGTTGCTCCTTTAATATTCTGACTTTCAATTGTTACTCGATAGGAGATGAATGGCTCCATGTTTTCCAAAATTGACTCATTGCGAGATGTTCGAATTGTCGACCACTGAAGGTTGGCCTCATTCTGAGCGTGAATGGCAAATGTTTGATCGTATCCTCCATTGTATCCTGGCAGCCAACTTATTTTCAACGAATAGTTGCTCTCGCAAGTGAATCGCACCTTTGTGACAGGTTGAGGCTTTGTACTCTGAAAAAATAATTCAGTTCTTTTATAATAATTTAACTAATAAGAAATCATTATTGAAAAATTTAATTTTCACAATGGCGCGCGTTTTCCTTCCTAAGCATCTCAAAAAACGTAGTGTATATACGTATTGCGAAATAACTCCTAACTGCCTGCTATTTTGGCACACTCATACAAGGTGCACTATTTTCACACACGCAAAAGATAGAATGCAGCGTGGCCCGCGAGGCCGTCCGCAGCAGTGGAATAGGGGGTATATATACAGCGCGCGCTCCAACGCCTTCGTTCTTCCGAGAACATATACTAAAATTGGAACAATACAGAGAAGATTAGCATGGCCCCTGCGCAAGGATGACACGCAAATTCGTGAAGCGTTCCAAATTTTTTGTGTAATTTACAATGAATTATTAAAAAAAAATACCAATGAAATTTTTGACAATTGATTTTCGAATGTGTATTTCTTCGGAAAATGTTTTTTTTATAGCAACCGATAACTCAAAATTTTTAATGTGTATGCTGTTAAAAATATATCTATATATATAATATTGAAAATATAAAGAATTACCATTAAAAATTGAAAATTATTTGCACAAAATGTGATTTATGCAAATAAACAAAGAGTTTGATAAAAGGCATACTCCAAGTTGTTATTAAAAGTTGCAAAGCTTATTAATCCGTCAAGAATTAATAAATTGCTGAATTTGAAATATAAAATATTCTCTACTCTATTATTTTCCTAATTTTCTTGCCATATCTTATTTAACTGAAGTGAGATGTAATGTTTGGTACGTCAGATTTCTACTTGATCGTTTTGGCACTTCAGGTTTTCTACTTGATGTGTGTGTCTCATACTGCCCACTATCTCATCATTACTAAGAATAGACGTTGTCATGGCTCGCGAAGTTGTCCGTACATTGACAATAAGGGGGTTTATAAATCGTGGGCATTTAGACACATTCGTTCTTCCGAGAACATATACTAAAATTGGAACAATACAGAGAAGATTAGCATGGCCCCTGCGCAAGGATGACACGCAAATTCGTGAAGCGTTCCAAATTTTTTGTGCAATTTGCAATGAATTTCAGTTAACAGTCAAGCGACGAATGGAAGTAGAATTGTAAGGGACTGTATTTTAATTTCAAGCTGAGTCACTTAAAAATTTCACGATGCTATAAAAGGCAATGGTGGCATATCTCCGAAAATCCCAGCTGATGTTTAAAATAAAAATTTCCCTCGTTAAGATGTAAAAGAAACTGGCTTGGGACAAAATTGTAACAACACTCGGGAAATATTTCATGAAACCCTATTTTTCGGACCCGAATATATGTTTATGAACATTATTTCAAAAATTGTTATTCGAGATCCGCGAAAAAAATAAAAGACGTTCTCCGAATAATTATGTTCTATTATTATCTCACCTCAACGATAATCATGGTCTCCGTTTTCAATGTCTCCACCGAATTGCTAACGACACATTGATAAGATCCATGATCTTCATGGGAGATGGCTCTGAAATTGAGTGTCGATTGATTGAGTCGCTTCTGAAAACTGAAACAAATTGCTCGATAAGTGAATTTTAAGCGACCTTGTCTCGTATCCAATAGACAATTGGCATTGGGTCACCAAAGCCTTGACAGGGCACGCTCACTTGATCGCCTTGTCTGACTTTAATTTTCGATGGCGGTAGGACAGTAAACACCGGAGGCTCTAAATAATTGAAACTAATTAATTTCAATTTGATTTTGTTATCTCGATACCGGCAACAATAAGATGCGTCTCAACAATCGGCCCCTTTCCAGCAATATTTTCCGCCTGGCATCCATAAATTCCATTATCGCCGGCTTTTGCGTTGTAAATTGATAGCTTTTCCTGAATTTTTGCTCCAGAATTGGCATCCGACAATTTGATTTCCTTGTTTACCTCCGTCTGAGATGTCAGAAAGTGGCCATTCTTTGACCAAATGTAAATGGTGGGCTTCGGATTCGCGATCACATCGCACGAAATTGATGAATTCCTACCGGACGCAATCGTCTTGACTGGTTGATGGTGATTAGTAGGCTCGGGCGGATCTAAATTAGAAACCACTTTCAATTCGGTACCCAAATAAAAATTATCCAAGTCAAAAGAACCAAATGCGGGCTTGCAATGTTACTCACACAATACTTCCAAATGTGCTGATGAGCTGACAATATCGCCGTGGCCATTTTTGGCCTCGCACGTGTACCAACCAGCGTCTGTCTTTCTAACGTCTTGAAGTGAGAGATCGCCGTTCTAAAAAGATACATTTAGAGAAATATTGGAAAATAGTCGGACCCTTATATTTGCTCTCAATCCCGCCGGTGTTGTTTTGATCTGCTTCTTCTCGAAAAGCCATGAGTACACAATAGTGCCAGGGTTTGAATTCGCGTGACAATGCCAGAACAGATTCGAGCCTTCCATCACCGTTTTATTAATTGGCACAAGATCCAATGTTGTTTCTCCTGGAATTGGTTTGATTTTACCATGGAAACCGGATTTCGATTTTACTGGTGAATCGAAGATCTATATAAGAAGACGTTGCTCCTTCGACATTTACAGCGAGACATGAGTATTGGCCCTTATCTCCTTCAGTGAGATTGGAAATGCTTAGCACAGCGGATGTCGACACGATTTGGTCATTCTGAATATATCGGAAAATTTTACGAAAAAAATAACGAGAAAAACCTTGGACCATGTTATTTCTGGAGATGGAACTCCATCCGCTTTACATTCAATGGACAAAATATCGCCGTGTTTTTTGAAGAATATCTCCCCATTTTTTGGGAAATTTACAATAGGAGCAACTAAAATTTAAAAGAAGGGAATGATTAGCTGAAAATGATTTTCATACCATTGACTATTAATTTCAAAGAAGTTCCTTTGATTGGTTTAGTAGGTTGTTTTGAGAAACGGGTGACTATGCATTGGTAAATTCCAGCGTCTTGATTGGACACCGAGTGAATGGTGATTCCAAGCTTGTCGTCTCGTGCAAGTCTTCCTAAAAAATTTACTTCTTATTTTAAAATTTTATTAGTTTTCAAATAGGAATTAATATTTATTTACAATCAAAATTGGTAAATATCGCAAAAATAATTACCATTTGTTTAAGATTCAAATTTTTATTTTTTCGTTGCAATTTTTTAGTAATAATAATAAAATACTATACCCTGCAATGATGGAGTCACATGCCCTCTCTCATTCCCATAGGCGCTGAGAATCAGCTGATCATCCTTTCTCCAGTCAATTGAGAACTTGTCGTTTGGGTCGAGGTCCACTGCGCAGGGTAATGTGATCCTGCTGCCACTTTTACCCCAGACCGTCTTCATCTGAAAAAATAGAGACAAAAGATTGAAAGTATATACAATATGTGCATAAATCGAGAATTATTCAATTCCTAACTTCCCCTGAAAACGCCATATTTGTTTAAAGAATGAAGAATGATTTAGTATCGAATTACAATCCAATGTATATAAACTCGAGAACCAAAAGTTTTGCGGCGAATAATGTTAATTAGAATGTATCAGGCGCGCGCTGACGCAAGGACAGCTGTTCGGATTATTTGACCTCGTCGTGTGCGCAGAAGCGGAAGAAGAAGAAGCCCCTAACTATGTAGTAAAGTATAAGTTTGCCTGGTCTGTTGTTGCCACCCCGCGATTCGAGGCTGTGAGCAACGTTTTGAAAATTAAGCGCAACCCCCCAACCCCTTCCAAAAAAGATTACTAATATTTGATGTTGGGGGATAGGAGAGGGTTGCGGTTGCCCGACTTCATGAAATAATAATGGAATATGAAAATCGTTTCGATTAATGAAAATGTATATGTTTCAACATTTGAACTCGAAATTTCACACCTTCACGAATTTAGGTTGCTTATTTCCTGAGAAGCAGTTGAAGCATACAACGAAATTTCTGCATAACTATTTTCGTGCTTTCAAGAAGCAAAAATTGACGTTGGGAGATGAAAACCCACGCATTTTATCAGTGTAAAAAAAACATCAAAATTTTGTGGAGCTCATTATTCATAAAATTTAATTTGCTTCAAATTTGCAAAAATAGTAATTTTAAGCGAAGAACATCACGACAAAATGTTTTGTGCAAACGAATGTATTTTTAACACGAAAATTGGCGCGAAAACAAAAACACATTTTGTAGAGGGTGGAGCTATTGTTTCAGAAACCTCGAGTATAATCTTGTTGGGAGTCAATGAACACAAACAACAGCATATGCAATTAAGTTGAGAGTGGTAATCGAATACACGCGAACGCAAGGAGAAACTCGCGCCGGAATAACGGTTCGCGTGTCGGAAGTGTACACCAACTGACTTGACCGGCCATCTGACATTGTCACTAATTACGAAACAGCAGGCTGTTCATGCTCTGATTAGGTTTATTATTGGATGCTTGGAAGACAGAGGGAGAGGCAGACTCGGCAAAAGCGGAAAAAAAACGCTTCGCTCCGTTTTCTCGAGTCAAATCTTCTAATTAGGTTACGTTGAAGCTGACAGAATGCATAAAATAAAATCGAGCTGATGTTCGAATTATTGCACTTTTGGGGCATGAATGGCGGCAAAACGGAAAATTAAAACACGAAAATATTGTTTTCGACATTAAATCATGCCAATTAGAGCCTCGTCAGTGTTTTTTTCCGCAAAGAAAAATGTTTGTAGCGATGAAAGAACACAAGCCGGGGAAGGAATGGTTCGAGTTTCATTATGCTCGTATTGCTTATAGAAGAGGAAAGAAACGGAATAATAACGTATACATAAATGCTATAAATTTTATGGGATCGTGCTCATTTTGAACGAATTTGAATAAATTTTTGGGAATGAAAATGTTGTTGGAGATAAATTTCAAAATCATCTGGCAGTGTTTTTTTTTCGCGCCGGACCCATATGTCTCATTTTTCGAAAATTTTCAGTGAAGCCGAGCAAAGTGTAATTAATTAATTGAAAAATAACTAACCGCGAAACTTATTCATGTGGGCCGATTATTGTCCAAGAAAATTGCATGTCTACGAATTTTTCTCAGAATATAATTAAAAGTTTCAGAAAAAAAAAATTCGGAATATAATTACCCACAAAAAATAAAACGAAAACAAAACAAATTGTGTATTAATAACATAGTTACACAAAAAAAGTTTAAAAAAAATGGAAAATTTCATGCTACCAGCACATTTTTAAACCAAAAATTTTACATGAATCAATATTTCATTTTTTTTTTCAAAAAATACATAGTTATGCAGTTATGTGGTTATAAAAGTTCAGTAGCGCGTCAAGTGTCATAACGAATCATTCAAGAAGTCGCGCATCTCTCCTTTTTTGCAGTCGGATGTTCTACACGCATCCAAATGTGATTCAAGAGCCAACCATAATAAAATCATTGGAAGGGCACCGAAGGGTCGGATTGCACTATGTTTTTGTCGAAAAACAGAAAAATTCAGCGTACCAACCTCTTCATTAGTAGAATATTGATGAATTGAACGCAAGCGTCGGCGTGGCATTTTGGAAATTCGACGCCAACGGTGCCAAAAAATCATATCGCATTCATTCAATTGTTGGCCAACCATCAATATTGGTGACGTTTGAGTGCACAATTAGGTGTATTGAACGCAGGCTAGGAGAGGGGTTGGGCGGCAGATGTTATGAAAATACCAATCATCATTATACGGGACAATTTCCGTTTGCGCGAAATTAGAAATGCTCAAGTTAGCTCATTGAGCTACAGCAATAATGAAATCTCAGGTAAATGAAACTACCACATTAAAGGAGCTTATACGGATTGGAACCGTTAAAATGCATAAGAATTGCTCGCATATAATTTGGGCAGGTGAAATTTGCATATAAAAATTCGAATTACGGCAACAACTCAAAATTATTCTATGTTTCGGGAAATAAACGGTCACTATTGGTTATGGCCGCTTACTCATTTTTGATTTTGATGAAAAAAAAAGAAGGCAAAAATAACGCAAGTCAGAAAATCTCTTCAAATCCTTGTGAGCCTAGTAGACTATTGTTTCATTTCTTCCCGAATGTGTGCGAAAAAGTTTTCTGAAGAATACTCCTAATGAAAAATTTCAAGAACTTTTCCCACTAAAAAAAATAAACTCTTATATTTTCATGAAAGTGCACGAAATGGAGGAATGGACATCACAATTTATTTGTTTGCAAACAAAACGCCATTAGAATAGAATATTGAAATGCCACAAATTTAGGACGGGCAATTACCCAAAAATAAAACATAATTCAAAAGTAATAGGATAATTTAAAGATTATAGATAATCAAACAATTAGAACTATTCCTTCTTGAGGGACGACGAGCTGAAAATATTGTTTTTAATTCAGTAAATTAATGAATGCTTCTTACTGATCTGAAGATCCACTCAACACTAAATATGGGGTAGCGAGCTGCTTTTGCTTTTTGAGCTGCTTGCTTAGTGTTCCCAACGGTGTGTCGTAGCTGTTCGTCTTCATCATGCGCTCTTCCTTGTCCTTACGGTTCGCACGCTTCTCAAGCTGCTTCTTACCAGGATTTCGTCCATGAAATCTATAAATGCTTGTTAATTTTCTGGAATTTCCTTCCAAAATTCCTACTTGTAGGAGAGCTCTCTGTAAGCGTCTTTTGCATCCATATCCCTTCCCTTCTTATCAACATAGGTGATATTAACTTCTGGATGATAGTCAGCTTTCTCAACAAAAGGTACCAATGGTCCCTTTCCAGTGGTTCCAAGCCGATCAAGTTTCTTCATGTACTTGTCTTCGATATCATTCGAACTAAATGAGCACAAAATAGTAATAATTAATACTTTCAATCTCACTGTCTTCCGGCATCAATTTGTGTTTTTGATCTGTTCTTCAAGTGTTCAAGAGACGGCCCACTCGGTCCTCTGTCTCCCTTATTTTGAAGGTAACCCTTCTGAGCAGCCAACTTGAGCATAGCCCCAACTCCTTTCGAGACATCGACTTCTCTACCAAGTGCTGGCTCATAGTCGGAGTCGCTATCTTCTTCATTGTCGGACCATTTCTAAAAGAATACAAAATATCCCTTTAATAAAATAATTTCATTTTTGTACCTTATTCTTAGCTTCCTCAAGAGCTTTCTCATCGTCGCTGTCAAGTTCAGCAGTCGCTGGTTCGCCCGCGGCAAGCCATCTCCCCCTAAATGAAGAATATGTTGAATTCGTTCTTTCAATGCCATAGTTTTACTTTTCTTGATTTCTAATCTCCAACTCCTTGATTTCTTCTTCCCTTCTTTCTGTCTCATCCTGTTCTATATCATCAGTCAGCTCTGTCATTTTCTTTCTAGCCGCGTCTCTCTTCTTAGCAAGCATGTTGCCATCCAGTGTTTCAGGCTCTCCAATCTGCCGGCAGTACTCGATAGTAGAATCCAGAACAATTTTTGATTTTTTCGACTTTTTCGCTGATTCCTGCTCTTCCATTTGAGCTTCATGCGACGATAAAATGCTGCGCACTCTTTTGCCAATGTCGCGATCTTCAGTTTCCTTCTTCTTTTCAAACTCTTTAAGTCGGCGAGCTTGCGCAAGTGCTGAGTAGAGCTCATCCTCAGCGTCATCTTTAATGACGACTCCTGTGAGGTCGACGCCACCGACAGGCATGAAATCATCATCACTCTCATCGTCGCTCGGTGCGGAAGCAGCTTCTTTCAGTTTGCGAAGTCTTTCCAAATCAACACCATTTCCATCCATCGACTTCTTCCACTTTCCGTCATCCTCATCATCATCATATTCTTCCTTCTAAAATCATATTACTTTTTATGTTTAATTTTTGGATTAGTTAAGCCAAAACGACATTTATTACGAACCTTCACTTCTTTCTTAATCGCCATATCCTCATCATCATTCCGTGACTTCTCTTCGTCGTCTTCATCTCCATCATGCCTTCTTCTCTTACCCATATCCCTGAAACAAAAACCACTAATGACCATTATAAATTTCTAAGAAATTATCTACCTTCTTCCTTCTCCAGCGGCTTCCACTGGAACCAAGTCTGATGCTTTCAGAATCTTTCTCTTCCGTGTGTTCTTCTCCTTCTTTCCTTTCTTGACCTTCCGGAAAGCCACCATTTCATCTTGGGTGTAGAATTCTGTGGCGAGCTTGTATTTTGGAGCATCAAGGGTTTCCAATCGTTTGCCAGCCATTTGGAGTTTTTTGAACATTTCACGTTCTCTGAAATTTTTAAAATTTTTATATATTATGCAATTGTTCATCGTTAGGATACCTTCTTTCCTCATCAAGATCAATTCCACCAGTTTCATCTAGGCGGAATTGCTCCTTTGGCACACCTTCTAGTTCTTCGTCATACTTGGCAAGAACACCAAAGTTCTTTTTCTGAAATATATTAATTAGGGCACTTTTACTAATATTGTTCATACGTTGCCAAACTCGTCAACTTCCTCATCATAATTTCTGTAGTGATCCTTTCTCTTTCTAAGTTCAACATTGCGAACGTGACGTTCATTTTCAAGAAGGTTTGGATTGACAAGCACCTCGTCACCGTCATCAAGAACACCTACAAATCGGTTGCAATTTGCAGATTGATTTTCAGCAAACCTTTGTCATCGAGAACCAAAATCTGGTCGCCTTCCATGAACGCGTCTTTAGAGTGGCCAACGACGAGACCCGCGGTGGAAGAATCGGCTTTAGTGCCTTTTTTCTTTAAATAAGAGCATAAATCAAAGTTTCCTTTTCTGTTACTTACCACTAGTTTCTTTTTCGGTTTTTCTGGTTTCTTGCTTTCCTCTATCTCCTCATCCAACTCGTCAAACATTTTAGCCTATAACAATGAAAATGTCTAAAGTAATATTCGAATAAAATGTGCAAACCCTTTCCGCAGCTTTCCTCTCCTCTTCTTTTTTGCGCATCTTTTCAATCCAGCTCTCCGCAGAATCATCCTCATCGGATTCAGCAAGACCTTTCGTTCTGAGAACCTTCGAGTAGATATCGCGCTTCTTTTTTGCGACTTCTAGTTTTTCCTTGAGCTCATTCTCACGTTTCTTCTCCGCCCAATTTTCAGCTTTTCTATGACGGAACTCGAAGCCATCCTCATTGTAAATCTTCTCTCCGGTTCCATCATCGGCATCACGCTCTTTGTTTTCTTCAACTTGAAGCGGTGCTAAACCAAGAGAAGCACGAAGTTTGTTCGTCTCCTCAATCGACATGGAATCGGCTCTGAAAATTACCCAAATAATTTATTTTGATGAATTTAAACATACGGCTCTCCATTATCTTCATCCTCTTTTTTTGGTTTCACTGCTTTTTTCGTTTGACGTGGTGATTCCGTAGAAGAGCTTGAAGATGAGCGACGTCGTCTGCTCTCATGATGCAACATCGATGTGTCACCATCATCTTGTTTTCTTTTCTTGGAATACTTGGACGACATCCTGAAAGGCAATTATTATAATATGCAATCAGAAACGAGCAGGCAAAGTGGAATGAATGAACGAATAATCGAGACACCGAAAAAAGTTATAAATGTGCAAAAGACGACACCAAGAGGTATATGAGAAGGATGCCAAAAGCAATTTACCTAGTTGACCTAGTAGACAATGATGAGGTGACACCATAAGGATATAAGGTGGGAACGGTATAAAAATGTGTGAAATCGATGATAATGTAGTATTACGACAGGGCGCGATTGTTGCAATTCTGACAAAGAAAATATGCCATCAATAGAGTGATTCTGTTATGGGAAGAAAAAAGTGATTGCACATTAATAAACAAAGTTTTTTTCCACACCAAAATTAAATATTTTGCGATATCACCTTTTTTTCCATAAATGATATTACACATAAATAAATATCCTAAAATTTACAAAAAAAAATAATTTTTCGCCGCGAATATTTTAAAAATAATTATTGACCGGTAATTAACGAAGTTTTTATTATTTAGATGGAATAATTGACAAAATCAATGTACTTGCGAGTTTCGAAAATAATGCAGACCGCATAAAACGCCTCTCGTTCTCTCTCCGCATGGCCGCGAAATTTCCGGCCATTGAGGATCTCTGGGCACACTCGGCGCTGTGAATGGAAGGCTAGACATGTATAATTTAGGATTGAAAACGGAAATCTATTTCAAATTTGGAGTTATTATGCAATCAACAACAATAGCAAGTTGCTGGTAAAAACAGGAGACAGAAAATTAAAGAAAAACGAGCGACGTGACAATCGGCGTGTCGAAATACATTGAGATAAATGCCAATAAATTTTCAATATTAACTGAAATATTAAAAAAAATGATAGAAGCCGATTGACCAAAAATTGTTTCCGTTGAAATTCTTACTTAAAATTATAGTAATGAAAAATTCTTGGAAAATTTGTAATGAATTAAATTGAAACACTATAATTGATACTTTATTGCAAACCTTTTATTAATGTTTTTTTTTTTTTTGCTTTTTCAACTTTATTGAAAATAATTGCCTATTTTTGAGTGATTTATAGCATATCAAATCAAATTGCTATAAGACTTCCAAAAGTCATTTATTTTTATTCTTCTGGTGACTGTCAATTTTCATTGACACCATGACGCCAATTAAAAAAATAAATTGTTTGGAAACCAGCGTTTTAAAATATTATAATATTCCAATAACATTTGTGGTAAGAAACTGAAAAGTTTTCAATAATTCATTAAGATTATTGAGAATGGGTAAACTTTTTAAATATTTAGAGAATTCTCTAACACTTCCTAAAATTAGTAAGACAATTTGGTAAGTATTTCCATAAACTAAAAAAATTAAAATCCTCTTTAAATATAATTAATAAAAATCTAGAAAATTATGGAGTCCCTCCAAATGCTAATTATCAAAATTTAATCAAAGTAATATTTATTTTTGTTTGCCCGTGGTTCCGTTTTCTTATTCACCAGTTGATCTTTGTCTCAAGACGGGAAAACCCTTTTAGATCAAGTTCACTCATGCAACATAGTTTTTTTTTAAGTTTCAATATCTAGGGCCATTTTCACGCCTTTTCTGTGCTTCCTGCGCGAAGTGCTGTTTATTTCACTTCAACATTCAACCGAGCGTAAACCTTTTCAAAATGAAAAAATTGAAAAAGAAGAACCTTCCGTATTTATTGTTTTTTTTTTATGTAGCACACTTGGCGGCATTTTGTCACTACAATGATTTGACTTATCCATCTTCGAAAAAAAATTTGAAGTATCAATCAACACCGATCAGTAAAGGATTTTCTAACAAGGCTACATCGCAGATCCCCAATATATATATTCAGAAGCCGCTTGCTTACTGATTTTGACATATTCATTGGACGTCAACTAAGACTCAAGACTTTTTTTATCAGAATTGCATAATTATATATCTGTTTTTGACAAATATGTCAAACGGTTTTTCTTCCAATTACGTCCACTAATGTTTTCTGGCTTATCGTGTAGATGATAGATATTCGTTATGTGAAATTAATCATTTTCTCGCTAGAAAAAAACTTTGCCATCTTTTTTTGGCGCAAAATTCTAAAATAAAATTCTCGTGGTGTTGTGTTACCTGATATGCCAAATAAGATGTCTCTACTACGTCAGGGGGAAGAGATCTCGAATGAATTTCCTTTTTAAAACTTTTTTTTTGCTCACCGAGAAGCTTGTTTTATAATTCATGATTCAAATGTATAATTTCCGCTCATCCTAGAATTAATCTATTGAAATGTCACATGTCCATTTATAATGCTCAACGCTTCATTTGATATTTTAATGGTTTAACAGTGGGAATTTCTTCGCCAAAAAGAGCCCCTCCCTTAAAAACTCTGAACATGATCGTTTAGTAATCCTTCTCTTGACGGTCTAATTCTCCCTTGTTCCGAAAATTGTATCCTCGCTTATTTTCACCATTGTTAATGTTTTTTGGTGAGTGGGGGAGGGGAAGGAACTTGCTATTTTTGTTCTTTTCTTTTCGATCAGATATTTTCCTGCACAGATATTATCCATTTTAGTATAAAGCGATAAAAGGTTCTGGTTGTCGGCAGTTGTCAGAACAAATCGCAATTTTTTTCTCAATCCGCTGCCGACGCATTTATTTTTGATTGTTTCTCTTGTCAAATGCTTTACGTTTGCTTTTATATAGTGCAATAAAAAAGTAGTATTTCATTTTTCATTTTTTTGGATTTTGAATATAGGAGTCGATATTCGGTTAAAGTTGAAGTTCGCATTTTTTCCAAATGTCTGACTTTGTCGGCAGTGCTCGGAAATCAAGCGCTCGACGTCACAGCCAATATCCATTTCAATCAGCAATCCATTCTAAAAAAGCTTGGCGTTGCACTTTATTATGTTAATTCGAAAGCTAACCAAAACGGTTTGCAAAAATTTTAGACTGAAAATTAGCGCGTTTTTTAGATGGGGGTTTCTTTTCAAGAGCATTTTTGAGTTGTTCGTTTTTTGATGTAAAAGTAGGAAGGAAGAAATGAAAAAAATACTTGAAGCACACCTCCCCCCCCCCCTTCTTCATTCCGTTTGTTTTTTGCACATGAGTGTCAGAAGCATTTGTTGTCAATCGCGAATGACAATAAATAATTACAAATATGGACAATTTATGTGCACTTGTGCCGTCGAGACATATCGGGCGAAAACGAGAGTCAAGGAAATTTATTTTTGAAAAAAAAAAAACAAAGTTCATTTAAAAAAGTGGCAAAGACGATTTGTTTCAGAGATTTACTACGTCCAAGGATTATAATTTATTCTCTTTGTTTTTCGCCGCACTTTTTTGCCGGGGTGAAGCACATCTGTGTCGATGGTGTTGCTATCTCATTTTTTTCACCGTCACCCACCCTCCCTCCCTCTGCAAAAACCGATTTCATTTAGTCAGGGTGCTCCTTAAGAATTCTGACAAAGTTCACGTAAAACGTGAAACCTGATATAGGTGCATATTCATCAAGACACAAATAGCTTTAAGACTTATCAGACCCCATGATTTATAAGCATTTGCTTAATAATGAGGTTTAGGAAAGCTTGAGTGTTTTTGACATTTTCCCCCGGAAATTCTCAATTTTTCTGATATTCGTTGACCGGTCACAACCCAGTGCTCACTCAACGTTTATTTTTATTTCTATTTTATCGCGTAGATCAAATACTCCGACTTTGATCTCTTGTCAAACAAGCGTTGGTTTTTTTACTGGCGCTCATTTGAATTTGATCTACAAAAATTAAGCACGCATGCTTTTTTTCAAGTGCTTGCTTATTGAAATAATCTTTGAAAAACACACACACAATGATGAGATTGTTTTGCAACCTTCTCATTATCTAGAAAAATCTCTGCATTTTTTTCTGCCGCGGGGTTTTTATTTGATTGAAAACAAGTGCTCAAAGCTTATTGGGGATAAAAATATTAAAGATGAAATAGATTTTCAATTCTCGAGATTTTTTAAGCTAATGGATCCCATTAAATTTCATCGAATTTCAGAAATCCATTATGATCCTAATAGGAACATATATAGAATGTTCGTTTTCTACTTTTTGTTTAGTTCAGAGTTCCATTGTTCCATAAACTCTCACGCTCTCAATAGATATGCAACACAAAGTGATAATTCGTGAGAAATGAGTCCTATGGTTATAGTCATCACTATAATATACACACATTGATCATTTTGAGGAAACAATTTATGGTACTACATTATTTCATATGTTGATATTATTATTCTTGGCATTCAATTTTGTATCATCACATGCGAGACTAGTCGTTCAAGCGGATTGAAGCTCATGAGTTTTCTCCAATGGCATATCATATATCATCTGATTTCAATATGAATGATAGATGAGCATTGAAAAAATGTGAAAAGCGCCGAGACGGTCGCCTCCCTTGCTCATCACACAGCGGAAACACCCCGAACAGCAATAACGTTGCAAGCAAATTTTTTACACTTTCCACACCCGGGAGCTCCTAATTGTTTTTGTGCTGCCACGGCGTGCGACTTGCATTTTTTTGGTGATTGCTCTCCATTACCAAATAATAAACCCAATGAAAGTAGGTTCATGTTTCCGATGCACATTTATACAGCAATTCCTTTTATGACCATCCATGTATGTACGCTTTTTCCTCATTATTTCAAGAGCGAATTCCTTCAACTCAGGGTAGATGTTTGTGCATATTTTTTTTCTCATTTTCTTTAATCAAGCGTGACTTTTATTAGACATGCCATTCAGGAACTCAACGCATCCTTTTCATTCAAATAAACTTTTTTTTTCGTATTCAGATTGCATGCGACGCATTCTTTTGAAAATCAAACGAGAAAAATAAAAAGCATGCTTCTGAAGTGATGGTCTCGCCTTCTCGAAAAACTCTTGTGATTTTCTTGTTTGCGAGATTTGAACGGCGTTCTAGGTTAAAACCCAAAACTTTTTCTCAAGTGAGTCACGCAGCGGAAGATTTTTATTCAAAATTCACCGATTTTCGCATTATCAGAAATTTCAGAATTATTCTTGATCAAAGGCAAAACATCCAATTTATTGAACATTTGCTTAAAAATTTCAAAGCAAACAGTTGCTCTTGAGAAAAGTTGTTGGCTGTTTCAATCTCAAGCAATATAATTTTTGAAAAACAATATCCTTGATCGCCGCTGCATTATTGCGTCTTTGCTTTTCAATATCTCAAAGCGAAAAAAATAGAGATCACAAGATTTTCGCATTCGCCATTACGAATAGCAAATACCGTAAAATGTCAGTTCTCAAAGTTTATGCGAGCTCATTTTGCCACAGAACCCAACCAATGCAGTTTTTTTTCGGCATATTACGTCGGCAGTTGAGCCAATTCATGGATTTTTTTTGGTCAACCACCCAACGCCAATCATAATAATCCACAACTTTGTTGAAAACCTGCATGGAGGTGGAAGCGAAAGAATAAAATAAAAATGTCCAACGTAATTGTCAGTTGTGTTTTTTGCGTTATGTCGAGTGCGAAATAGTCCTCCGCCTCAATTGGGTCGGCTTTTAGCGATTTGCTGCTCTTGACACAAAATTTTGGTGTGTTGAAAAGTCAAATGCGCGAATTCTTCTTTTTTTTCTCGCCGACTGGTTACAAGGTGCATTCATCTATGTACGTATTTTTTTTCAGGCGGCTTTCAACTTCCTCCTTCCATTTACCACCACTTTTTTTTTCATTCCATTTCCTGTTGTTGCCCCGGTTAAGCATGCCCATTTATTTTAAGCTGATCCTCCTCCCCCCCTCCCCTCTCTCCACCCTCGCTATTCTTATTATTTTCCGATATTCCGATCACATATTTTCCGTGGGCGAGAAATTGGATGGAGCTCATTGAGACGAGCGCACAGGACGTTTAATTATTCTTTTTTTGCACACCAGCCTCCACTTTTGTTTTTGACAGAAAAAATGGGACTCCTATTGTCTGTCCGCGAAACGTTGTTTGACATTCGCAAAAATCTTTTATTCTGTTTTCAATACTTTGTGTGAAAAAACCAATGTACCAATGATCAGCCTCAAATTTTGAGCACATTCGAGCATTTATTTGTATCCAAAATCTCTCATTACTATTATAATCATAGAAGAGGAATGTAATTTCCTTTATATCGAAATATGATACCAAATAAAGTATTCTGAGGTAGTCTAACGTTTTTCAGTCTAATTCTGACTTGAACACAAAATTCAGTGAGTTGTCTCTTCCCCTCAAATCTCCTCTCTCCTCCTCAATCTTCAGCGTTGTGCAGACATCCTCCTACAGTAATCCAGCAACAAAGCCTCAAACTCAATTATGCTCGCCAATTTAGTTGGTCAAACATTTGTGATTCATCATACTTTGCTCTTTCACTTTATTAGTTAGTGTTTGGACGAGTTGCTCTTCAACGACGCCAAAAGAAAAAATTAACGCCAACATTGGAGAGAAGGCCGGCGACACAAGTTTTGTGTACATAGCAGAGATATTTTTCATTAATATTTATTAGAAATAGTCTAGTTTATCATTTGAATATGTACCTTGTCGCGGAAATTTCACTCCACATTACTTTTATACATCGAATTAATTGCTTCAGATCGGTATGGCCAAAATAGGCAAGGAGAATCTGCTACTCTTCTTCACCGTACTTGGTGTCGCAATTGGTATCGGTCTCGGGCTTGCATTGAGGGATCCTAATCAACAATGGTCAAAACGTCATCTATCGTACTTGCGATTTCCCGGCGACCTCTTTGTGCAAATGTTGAAAATGCTGATTCTCCCGATGATCATGTCAAGCATAATGTGAGTCTTGTTTTTATGTGTATAATAGACAGCCATTCACTCGGACACAAAATTTTGCCTCCGTATGATATGCTTTGAAGTGTCAAAATATACATATGACTAGTCGATCTTTCAATGACAACTCAGTCAACAGCAGAAAAAAATAGATTGGGAGTGAGTGAAAGAGCCGGAGAGCTCGTATATGAGTAGTTAGAGAAAAATTAGCGGCTCAAAAACATTTGTCATCGCAAAAAAGAACGAAAAATTAGCCGACACTGATTCGGGCAGCAATTAGTCGTGGGTGAAACTAATGACTCCAATCACCTCTTTTTTTTGCAGCACAAGTCTTGCTTCGTTGGACTCGGCGACCGCTGGCCGCCTCGGTGTCGTGTCAATGACCTATTACATGTTGACGACGTTCTCGGCAGTTTTTCTTGGTTTGCAGAAATGGCGCAGTGTTCAATATGATTGATTGTGATATTAGGAATTTTTCTCGTTTCGGTGATTAAGCCTGGCAAATGGACGACGACCAATGTTGAGGATCTTGTGGGAAATGTGAAGACAACGCCATGCGTCGCCACCGCTGTTGACACTGTCATTGATCTTTTCAAGTTGGTGGAGTATAGAAAAAATATTGTAGTAAAAATCATTGCAAATGGTTTATATGAATGTTGAACGAAACTATTCATATGGTTAAGAGACCAGTACTCTTAAAAGGCCAAATAATTAATTGAATATTGCAAATTTAATAGGCCAATTATCAATTGTCCAATTCATTTTTTTTTTACAATTGAATAATGGTTTTTCTATCTATTATATTCGCACTTTTATAATTGTTGCCTTCAATTAATTTTTAATTCTAACTTTTCCAAAAATTCATTAAAACAATACGTTCGATCGGTTGCTTTGCGAGCAAGACATGCAAAAATTGTATGCTTAGTGACTAAACACTTTAAGGAGTTGCTTCCCGGAGAATTTGATGGAGGCAACATTCCGAAACACCAAAGTTTGCCTCAAGTTTTACAATGGCTCCACCGAAATTGCTCCGGAAGTTGCTATGACAATGGCACCAGGTTTTTTTTGCTAAATAGCAATTAGTGTGTGGCGGCGCTCAAACATCGATTACAGAGCAGCGTGCTCTTTTCACCGAGGTCCCCGAAAAAGTCACATCAGATGGAATGAACATTTTGGGATTGGTGGTGTTCAGCGTTGCGCTTGGTATCGTCATCGGTGTCGTCGGCGAGGAAGGCAAACCATTGAAGAATTTTTTCAAGAGCTTGGAAGCTGTCAGCATGCAATTAATCTCATGGGTTATCATGTAAGAATTCCATTATTGCTGAGAAGTTTTTGAAGCATTCGAGTCGAGAACTAGAGAAATATTTTAAAACCTTTTCAAAAATTCCAGAGTTTTTAAAAAAACAAAATGATTCTATTGTATGTTCATTGTCTCCTAGAGACATGAAAGCTTTTAAAATAATGATGCTATAGGTATTCCCCAATTGGCATCACATTCCTCATCGCTGCCCAAATCGTGGGAATGAAGGACCCTGGACAGGAATTGCATAGACTTATGGGATATGTGATCACCGTTATCTCAGGATTATTGATTCACGCATTCGTCATTATTCCGACATTGTGCATTGTGGTAAAAAAAAAGAGGAAAACCTGTGAATGCCGTTAAATTGATATTGAAGCTCGCTCGAAGAAATCCGCTGAAATTCGTTGCTGGAATTGCTCAAGCACTACTCACTGCTCTCGCAACTAGCTCGAGCTCCGCCACCCTTCCATTATCGATTAAATGTTGCGAGGAGAACAATGGAATTGATCCAAGAGTTACTCGATTTGTTCTCCCACTTGGTGCCACAATGTATTTCGAAATCAAATTTTTTTCGAGATTTTGAAATAATATTGCTTTTAGTAACATGGACGGAACTGCTCTTTATGAAGCAGTGGCGGCGATTTACATTTCGCAATGCGTTGGAAATGATTTGTCGCTTGGACAGGTTATTTTGGTCTCGATGACTGCAACGTTGGCTAGTATTGGAGCAGCCGGAATCCCACAAGCTGGTAAATTATTCTCAAACGGAAAATAAGCTTTTATAAATTATTGAATTCAGTTAAAAGAAGGAAAGATTATAGAAGCAATTAAAAAAACCCTAAATAAATTAGCTAACTTGCTATATTTCAGGAATTGTTACAATGATAATGGTTTTGATCGCGATTGGCCTCCCTACGAATCTCTTCATTCTCATCTTCCCAGTCGACTTCATGCTTGATCGCCTTCGCACCACTGTCAATGTCTATGGTGACAGTATCGCCACTGCTTGTATTGAGCGGCTCTGCGAGAAATATCTTGCCAAAGGTGAATTGTTCGAGCCAACAAATTTCGAGAGATTGAAATTTCGAAATATTTTTTTGAAATTCATTAATCGTTTAGATACTCATTCCAAAAAAGAGGAGGATAGCGATGAGCAGGTCAAATTCATCTAAGTAGATGAATTCGAGTGCATTATACTATTCAATTATTAAATATGTATGCAATAAGCATGTTGGCTAAAAGAAGCGTTTTAATGGGTGTCAAATCATTAATTTTTGGCAAAAAAGAGCATTGAGTTCAATTTAATAATAAATTCCAATATGGGCGATGAAGCGAAAATTCTAATATGAAACTAAAAATAGAAAAATTTGAGAAGAGATTTTTGGAAGTTTGCCAAATATATGAGCATGGATTTTTTTGGGGAGGGATTTGTTTGGGATTTTTAACAATTTTTTTTGCAACTAACTTTGTTTGGCTTTTGCTTGTCGCAATTTCCATTGACGAAATTAAAAAAAAAAATTTTGCATTTTGCAGGCGGCGTTCGCGAAACCAATGATCAGGGCTACAGTATGCTTTCAACAAACGCTTCTCCTGACCCGAAACGAATTACAATCGGCAATAACTGTGAGAACTCGCACATGTTGTAAACTCATTCCCCTTTTCTCGCCCATAAATTGTGTTTTTTTTTTTCTTCCTGATTTTTGCAGGATGTCTTATTTATTCAAAACATCTTATGTAGTCCCCGAAATGTCGTCCCGATTTTCTAGTTTATTACTAGCAGCTGTCTTCTCACAACATATGTTTCCAATTGCTTGAATGATCAATATTATTCCTCTCTCAAGATGAAAATATATCTAATTCAAAAAAAAATAGCCCTCAGAAAATTTATGATTTCCTCCATAAATTATTATAGTGGTAGATTTAATTAATCTCCTATAGAACGTCTCTCTCTCTCTCTCCAAATCCTAATTTTGCTGTTTTAAGCAATTCGACAACAATTCCGCAATCTTATTTGGAATCTCATGCTTTTATAATATATATTTTTTTACAATATTTTGTCGATTTAGAATAAAAATTAATTTGGAAAACCTTCTTTTTTTCATTGTTTTTGTGGGAATGATGATCTTTATGACAGATATATGAATGATATACTGAAAATGAAAAAATAGCATGTGGAATTTCAATGATTTAAGAATGCGCTTATTCAACGACGACTTCTTCTCCGAGGTTTGGATTCTCCGCTACCGGTTGTGGCTCCTCTTCCTCAAAGTCCTTGTCAGGCAGTTGAAGTGGCTTGGCTTCGACTGGAGGTTTGGCACCCTCAATCTTGACTTGCTCCACATACTTTGGCGGCTCAAGATTCTTGCGGATCTGCTCGAGCTCCTCGTTGGTCTTGCGTCCCCATTCCGGTGGCGGACGAGCGGTTCCGCGGGCAATTGCCGGCTGCTTTGGCGGCTGAACGTTCTCGAACAAGAAGCGGCGATCAACGTATGAGCGACGATCGGTTTGACGATCGAATTTGGAAGCGGTGGTGATCTTTGGTGGATGGACCGATGAAGCAGCTTCCTCGGGGTCAAGTCCCTTCTTGAGGGCCTTGTTACGAGCAGCTTGACGTTGACGCTCATGAAGTTCTTTCATCTGAAATCAACTCGTCTCATCTCATATCTAGATAATTCCTTACGTCGTAGTCTTGACGTTCACGTCTCTTCTCCAAATCGTACTTCTCAGCTTCAAGCTTGACGATGCGAGCGTGCAACTGCTTGATCTTCTCCTTCAAGTCATTTGGCATCATGTTGGAGATGTCAACTTGACGGCAGACAGCGGCCAGGAAATTCTTTTTAGCCTCCTCGAGCTGTTCCTTGCTCACAGTGCTTCCCTTGGACTGAGCCAAGTTTCCGAACTGAGCGGCTTGCTCACCCTTGGAAGTGACAGTGAAGTTGCGTCCACCTGGAGCCGCATTTCCGTTGAATGCGCCAGCCATCATTTGTTGACGGCGGAGCTTCTCCTCGTTCTTGCGGATCTTCTCAGCATCAGCTCTAGCCTTGCGCTCTTCCTGACATCCATAATTTATTTCATTAAAACTGATTCAACATACCTCTTCCTTTCGGCGGCGTTCTTCATCCTGACGTCTTCTCTCAGCGAACTGACGCTCGTCCTCCTCACGCTCGGCGCGACGCTTCTCTTGCTTCTCCTTAAGCTCGCGGAGCTCCTGCTCGATCTTTTCCTTTTCAAGAACACGTCGTTGTTCGTAATCGAGGAGCTTGGCGGCTTCCTCTTCCTCGTGACGCTTCTTGGCGGCCTATAAAAGTCTTGAATTGATCTGATATCGATCTCTTATTACTTACGAGCATGGCAATTTCAGCCTCAGTCATCTCCGCTGGAGGCTTCTCTTCCTGTTGAGGAGGGCGACGAGCCTTCTCCTCTGGAGGGGCAACAACCTCCTCAGCTGGGGTCTCCTCACTGAAAACATGCATTACCTTAAACGAATTAAAGAAATTATCACTAACGCTTCTTCAGTTTGCTCCTCAGCTGGCTCGGCGTCAACCTCTTCCTCCTCCTCGAGCTCCTCCTCGTCGCTGGAAAAAATTTGCATGAAACACTGTTGAAAAATTTGAATGTCTTACTACACTTCCTCTTCGTCGGACATGATTGGACGGGTTCCTGTTACTGAAAATAGAAATATTCAGTGAGAAGAATGAAAAGTGCAACTCAAGGCGAGTTGTTGAAAACAAAATGAGGACGAAATGCTTCGGCGGGAGGGGGTGGAGCTCCCGTGGCAGCGGACTGCCCTTGCTGTAAACTCGCGGAGCACACTGCGATGCTACAACGCTCCCCCCCCCCACCTACGCAGAAACACCACGTAGTCTGTCGGCTCGCCGTGTGCCATTCGTCTGCGCTTCTACACTAAACGCAATCAATAGATATAAAGCGCATTTTCAATAAGAAACGCATTCGATTTGATATGATCCGTCGAGTCGGCGCACTCCTACGCGACCCGACAACTGGTGCTCAAAAATCCGCGGTTAAATGTGCGCCACGATGAAGGCTACCAACAAAAAAATTTCGCACTATTGATTTGTGTTGATCAATTATTACAACGGCGAGCATTTTGACAAACGTTACGAAATCGAAAACAATGCAGAAGATAATAAAAGATAGCTTCAATGATACATTTGAAAGTCAATATAAATCCATTTTTAGCGCACTGCTTACTGCTGGGTTTAATTAAAACGCAGCTGTTTTGCACCATTAATCTTCGATGAAGCTCCAAAAATAGAAGACTGAGAACAAGATGAATATCGCCCAATTTATTTTTTTTTGGGCGAGATTGAGCAGATGGTAGAATGATAGATTGGGCTTTGGGAAAATGAGCTATATGCAAAAACCGAGAAAAAATGATGAATGTGGTGAAAACAGTATTTTTGTGATATTTCTAAAAAATCATTTTAAAACATTAAAATCCCTATACAAGAAGAGTAAAAACTAAATTAATTTTTTTTAATTTACATAATATTATTAACTTGACATTTGGAGAAGCAAACTCTTCGTAAGTGACTTTTCAATCGTTTAGACTTTCACCTAAATTAAATGTATGGTTTTATAGCGAAATTTTTCGTTTGTATATCTTTCATTCATAACAGAAACAAAATTAGACCAACAAATTGAATGGAAAATTATTATTTATTAAAATCTTGGGTTTTCCTTCTGATTATTATATTATAGCAAAAATCTCAAAGCGACTCAATCTAATTGTATCCGAATTATATAAATTTCACTTTCATTCCTTCAGAGTTATCCAGATGCAATAATTTCAACGAAACAACACCATAGATGCGCTGGATTTCCGTGAATTCTAAATTTTGCAATTTTAATGACCTGTTTTCACTTATTTTTATTATAATAAAAATCCTATGACGTAGTTTTCTTAGTAGTACTCCGCAAATTTTAATGATCATTTTTCAATATCTCACCTCCACCAACTTTTAATTAATTTAGCTAGACAGGTGACCATAGATCCAATTAAGTGGGTGGCGACACTTTCTTCAAATACCAATCATCAACGTTACTACTATTTCGTTCCATTGTTGTTTTTCATTTTTTGGCATTCATCTCTCAAAGCCCAACAATTAATTTCCGAAAATTATGCAAGCTTCATATATATTTTCCATCGTCAGGCCCTCAAATTGTTGATTTCATAATAATGAAGCAAGCGAGCTTGAGTTGGAGGGCGTGGTCCGCATAATTTTGCTTTTCGAAGGAAACTATTCGCGATTGTCTTCCATTCAAGCAGTACTTTACTGGCACCGCCTCACCCATTTGGCGCCGTCAAGATCACACCCACATTAAAAGCTCACTTCATTTTGGACGATGTCATCAAAGATGTTCTTCTTCATCTTCTTCGCATGCATTATTTTTGGTAAGTATTCCTTTTCCTCAATTTTTTGACGATCACATTTCAAAATAATAATATTTATTTGTTATTTATTTTATTTTCAGGTATTTACTGCGAGTTGGTCGCTGATTCCGATGAGTACGATAATTCGCAATACGAGGAGGAGGAAGAAGTTGCCGATGAAAAGAAGATCTGCTTTTGTTGCCGAGCATTCGTGTGCCGTCATCAATTCTGTCCATGTTCTCCATTTACAGCATTGTTCTGAAATGTTGAACAATGCCCAGCAGTCAACATGACCCGCTCGCCCTCATTGCTTTTGGGAAACATTATTTTTGCTTCATTAATTATTTACAAAAATTTGATATTATTCTTTATTTGTTTGAAAACACGTAGAATCTCAACTATCAAATACAATCGAAAGGGCATGACGTGAAATAAATTATTTTTTTATAAATGAATATGTTCAAAGTCGACTACCAAAATCAAAAATTTAATTAAGAGAATACTGTTGACTTTTAATGAATTGTTTGAAGACCTTCTCTGAATTGATTCAGAGGCTCCAATTTTTCAATGAATGAAGACTTTGGTATTTTTACATAATCTTGTAATAAGGTTCATAAGGTTCTATTTATAATTGGTGTTGAAGCCTTCCTGGTTAAAAATAGCGGCATACGTCACTACAAAAGCACGGAAGCTTCATCATGTTGATGTAAGTAATGCAAACTGCATTTTAAGTCGTGATTATTTCTTTTATTATTTGAATGTGAATACTTTTTTCATAGAATTTGTCAATAAGAAATGAAAAAAAAAAAACAAAAAGGAAACAAAACGTTGCAAAGTTTTGAAACAATTTCCAATATTTGGAATACTCTTTCCAATTATTTTCCGAATTTGAAGAACAGAGAAATTAAGCTTGAGCGTTAGCTACATCGGCTCAGCTACAAAATGGCAGGATTAGAAGTTTGATAGAAACAAAGAAAAATTAGAAACAAGGAAAAATCATTAGTCAAAATATTAGAGATCCTTTGAACTGGGATAGTATGGACTAGGACCCTGGGAATGATATACAAGGAATATTAAAATATCAGTTTTTGGTCAATTTCGTCGAACTTTGAGATCCTTTTAATATGAAAATATTATAAAAGATCTAAATGGTGTTTTATTCATTCAATCTCTCCATTTCCTTGTCCTGATTGCGATGGTTCGATTCATGTTTCTTTCCCAAAATCGCCCGGTATTGCTTCTTGAATGAGATGTAAGATGCCGCTACGAAAGGCACCAATCCACCAATAACGAATATAAAGCATCCAGATCCCATTTTTTGCTGAAATTCTTAAAAAATAGTAAACGAAATATTAATGAATTTTAAACCGTTGAATTCTCCGGAATAGGTATCATAATAGTGTCCATGAATGATAAAACAAAAATGAAGAACAGAAGGACAACGAAAAGGAAACCTAAAAAAAATTCAGAAATAATCTATTTTTGATCTAGTTTTGCCTACAAGTAAGAATATTTGCAACAAAAATAAGCTTCTCCCAAATTTCAGCCTTTTTCTGGAAACTTTCGCAACAACATTTGGCAATGGCGTAGATCAACCAGGCTAATTGAAGTGTTAGAATTGCAAGCGCCAGATACTTCGAGACAGACATCACTAGAAATTACTATTAATTATTTGACAATTAATTTGTATGCGATTCTTACGTAGCGGCGGATCCAAAATGTCATTAAACGGTGTTGGGAATTTCGATCCCTTATCAAAGAATTCCCATGGAAGACACCTAATGACCTCGTCTTCTCCTCGATCGACCTTGTAGCAGTCGTGGCCGCGAACGCCGCGCTAAAAATAATAGTCAACTCAGGAAAAAAAAAGTCGGCTATACACCTGAAATTCATCATGCTTTATGGGTCTGTCGATATAGATCCATGCATTATTTGCATATCCTACAGCGGAAAGTGAAATTGAAACAATGAAGCCAACGACAGAAGATACGAATCCAACAATATTCGGATTTTGCGCATTTAAACTGGCATTGTCCGCCATAACCTAAAAGAGAAATGCTTTCAAAAAAAAGAAAGCAAAGAAAATTTGAGGAAACACCAAATCGCAAATAGTCCTTTGCAATATTTGTTCTATATTGTGTCACACCATTCTCGCTTAATCCATATGGCAATAGCATGAAAATGCTGGGCTTCAGAATATTTATAGAAAACCATATGGGTCAAAAACTACATAAATCACTAACCTACTACTATAATTATCTAAAACGGAATTTAAAAAAAAACATTAATATAGAATTTAAGCGTCAAACTGTTAAATATAGACATTTTTTTTAATGTAAATTGTATTGCTAAATTTTCGAAAAGTTTCTTAATATTAATATTTTTACATAATTATAGCAAATTCATTCAATTTTTTTTGACAATTTCGTCATTCTTGTTTTAAAATATCTATTTATATCTCCAAAGCTTTGATTTCTAAGAAAAAATAGAATAAAGCAATAATAACAATAAATTCCACTTTTTTCTTGTGGCAAGGACAAGAGCAACGACAATGGCTTCGAAAGTGTTGCAAGTCGACACGTTGTGAATCCCAAAGGAGTTGGATTACCAAATTTCAAAACGAGCGTGAAAAAAAATGTGCGAACAAGGCGTCGTATTGAAAAAATGAATGTACAGTGCTAAAGGTATGTAAATGAAGGAAGATCGTTTTTTCATCGAAATGTGGGAAAATTGTCGGTGCGCGCTGTCGGTGCGCAATGCCCCGAGAAGAACGGGAATCTCACCATTTCCAATGATATTTCTCTCATCTACATATACCTTGAGGAATCAACAATTGATGCGCGCGTTATTGATTTTAAAGAAGTCAAGTTCCACCACGTTTGCAATATTAATGCATACATATGTTTTTGAAATTGCAGTTGATTGATTTGAAAAGACGCATTGATTAATTGGGAGGGGAGGGGTCGTGAAATTCGGCGATAATTTCTTTGTCAACGTGAATCGCCGTTTGTTTTTAACAAAACAATGATGAATTGGGAGTTAAACGGTTTCTGATGTTATCAGGTTAACCAGAAATCGCCGTAATTGCTATTGATAACAATTCGGAGAAACGTAAGATCTGCAAAGTTTTCTGATGATCGAAACTGGCATTCTTCAAAAAATATAATGAAACAGATAATACGTATAAAAATAAGCTTCTGGAAAATTATCGTCGCCGTCTCAAAAAGTGTTAAACATTGACATTTAAATACAATAATTTTGCTACTTTAAACTTCAAGTTAAAAATGAAGGTAATATGTCTTATTGAAAGGGCCACCCAACAAAATTGGCTAGTGAACACCACCTGCCTAGTAAAACTCTCAAGGTGAAAACTTGGCTGGCCAGGGAATGCGCATTTTGAAATGGTTATTGGCTAGATTGTGAACAACTATTGGAAAACAATGTTTCAAGAGCTTCAATTTTTATTTTCGAGTCTAGGTAAAATAATAACCGATGTTGAAATGCACGGAAGAAATGGTTGCTATAGCACCGGAAACGACTTGTGCAGCAACTCGCTATTGACATACATATGTTGGACATTTATTCGTGCCGGAATTATTTAGTGAACACTTCAAGTTGAACGAAACGTCAAAAAAAATACGTTGTGAAAGTGAACTCGGCTTGGTTGAGCAGGTGAGATGAGATAAACAGACCACCCTCTCATTCGTAGTGTAAAAAGTGGGACTCTACTAGCCAATGATTTATTAGAAATTTTGAATCCTAAAATTTTTAGTTAAGCGAAAGGAAAAAGGATGAAGATCCATGATGAAGGAAGGCTTAATTTCCGGCATGTGTTGCCACAAATGTAATTGATTACGCCTTCAAATGAGATTTATGCTAATTAAAATTTCTTTGACAGATTTTTTAAACATTGTTTTAATCAATTGAAATTTAGAACGCTGAAAAATTCAAATGTTGAAGCTTCAATTTTTTTGCATTCACAGTTAAAAAAAATTGCATTGTTCGGATGTCTTATTAAATTTCTTGAAAAAAGTAAGTAAATTGAAACAATGAAATAAATTGTTAAGGCACATTTGCCTTCTATATTATTGCTCATTTTAACATTCAAAAAAATAACTTTGAATTTTCAAAAACATAATGAAAGGAAGGTCTTATTTAATTCAGGAAATGCATAAAATCTCGAATTGGAAAGGAATAACACATTTCTCAAACTAATTGACACATGTCTCAGAAGCTTACACGAATTGCGACAACTCAATAACGAGAAAACGTACATAACGTATGAGGGTGCGCGAGTAACCTAATGAAGAGATTTCTCGGTCATCTCAAGAAAACGAGGAGAAGAATGCGAGCGGGCGCGCGCGTGGCGCAGAAAGCGTTTGGTTTTATTATAGAAGAGTGGGCCGTTTCCAAATACGCCAAGTTGCCAAAAATTGGGCACACACACACATTGAAGCCATGAATAAGATATATTGGACGAGATTTCGGTCACATTTTCTTTTATTCCGCAACACAAATGCCAGACATCTAATTCAATGGTTACAAATTAGGCATATCCTGGATTTCGACATATGTCGGTGTCGAGTAGATGGTGTAGCCGTCGCGAATACCGTACTCTCGAAGCATCTTCTGATCGTCAAGGTGTTTAGCTGAAAATGAAAGCGTAACAATTTCACAAGAAAACGATTCACTTCCAAAAACGATCCATTGAATTTGCGATGGAATCGTAGTTATCTCTTCAATTTTTGATTTCGCCTGAACATATTCAAATCTAGAATATTATAGAACGTAATATACCTCGGCAACAGTGGCATTGTCCCCAATTTCTAGATCAATTGTATGTCCAGCGTACTTTCTAGTTTTGTTGTACACAATAGCTTTAATATGCCTAAATTTATGAAATTATAAATTAAACGAATATTCTTGAAAACGACTTACATTATTATTATTATTCGATTGAGAAATATGACGTCGAGAGACGACAATTTGGTAAAACGCGAAACGATCGTATCGTATTTATGCCAGCGCGCCAATCCAAATTACCTTAATTATGTCGAGAATGTCCTCCACTTCTGGCTCACTATTTTCATTGTTTTTGCATTTTTGTGCACTATGGCAAATAAATTTTTTTACTGACAAAAATTTTTGATTAGAGTAATTCGTCTACATCAATTATGCGAATTACTAATGTGATCGAAACTATTAAACACATTAATACAAATTTTCATAGTCTAATACGCATTTCATATATTTGTTAAAAATGTTACATATTGAAGGCAAATCGAGAAATGATAAAAGCTGATACAATATAAATCAATGATGATGGCGCAGATTTAGTAGTAACGTCGACTTTTTGAGTTGTTGCCGGTATTGATGGGGTTGTATTCTGTGTTCCAGCACCAGTTGCTGGATTTTGAGTCACTGTATTCTCAGTCACTGGTGGCTGAGGGGCTTTTGTTGTTGAGGTTCCACTCGGTGCTGAAGTCGAATAATCTCCATCTCCAGTCTCCGTATATTGCGCAAGTAGAGGCTGGCGAGTCATGCTGAATGTCACACTAGTATTGTAATTTGGCTGGCCGTGAACAAAGTTGTTAATCATTTGAAGTGCTGGCCCAGGCCTATCAGACGGCACCATGTGTCCAGCTCCCTATAAATATTAACTTTAACCTTACACATTGGACTCAAATAGCGAACCTTGACAGTGAGAAGGTCAATTGTCAAATTTTGCGTCTGGAATTTCTGTACATAGCCTCCAATCTGTCCTCCATACATCCAAGCAGATCTTGGCTGATTGGAAACCATATTGGTAGATTTGGCGAAATCAAAAATCATTGATTGTGCTTCAAACATGCTGCACACAGTGTCAACATCTCCATTGTATACAAGAACCCTGAAATTAAAAAAAGTCCTGTTTTTTTTTGTTCCATGGAAGTTACTTGAGCTTGTATCCACTGGTAAGAATGTCAAGGAAAATGCTGGTTGTGTCATTGTATTGACTGGCATAATCAATGTCTCTGGAAAAGTAAATTTTTTCTGACGCCGAAATTTTGAATAACAAACACGCAGAAATCCCATTTCTGAACAAAGTCTGGTATATGAAGTGCATCACGAACATGGGACATGCTCAAGTAGTGATTGATCGCGTCAAACTGATAGCACGAATATCCTCCGGCAGCATCTGTATACAACGGATCCATGTCATTGTTCTTGATTTTGGCAAAGCTGGCGCGAATCTTCGAATCGATCTTGGCTCTCTGACGCACACCCTCCATGCGGTATCCATCGGATTGCATTGGAATCGCATAACAATCCTGGTAAAGGTTGTATTGATCGTAAAGTGCTCTCCAGTTGCGGTCGAATGAAAGTTGCTCAACAAGATTGGCGCAGTTTTGCTTTACCGAATCACCAGGGAAGCTCTTTGCATGAACTTCGACTGAAAAATGGAAAATAGAAATAGAATTTTAAAAGATTTTAAAACCATTTTCATCGATAGTGACGTAATATTCGTAGTTGCATGAATCCGAAGCGTCAAGCTGTAAGCAACACTTCTTCAATTCTTCCCATTGTCTAAAATTTGTTGTGTGTTTCGTGAAAAAAGGTATCATGAATAATACTGTTTCTCATAAATTCCATGAAGGTACAAGAAGTCTGGAAGTGTCCGAACATCATTAATTGCGCTTAGGAAACCATTTCCAACGGCCATTCCCTTGAGGTTGATCGAGGAAATTCCACTCTAGAATTTTTCAATAATATTAAAATTGCAATTGAATTTTATCTACTTGAATTCGCTGGATTAAAAGTCTTGTCAATGTCGGAACATATATGCCACCATAAGATTCTCCAGCAATGTAGAAATCGGCGCCACGGTGCGGCGCGTAAGCTTCGAAAAAGTCGTCAAGGGCAACAGCGGTGTCCAATGCAGTATTGTCGTCATTATAATGAGTGTCGTTGTTGATACTCTTATCTTGATAAGAAAATCCAACTCCTCTTGGCGCGTCAATAATCAGCAAATGAGCAGCTTTGTTCCACGAGTAAATGTTTTCGAATAACGTTTCGCCGTCAGGATTGACAAAGAATGGTCCGATTTCACCGAAAAGACCACCAGTTGATGCGCATCCTGGGCCTCCTTGAAGCCACAGGATGATAGGATCATTTTCGTTTTGTGATTGCGACTCGACGAACCAGTAGAACAACTTGTTTCCTGGCGTGGCAGTGTTCAAATATCCCGAATGTTGCATAAAGGTTGGCTGGAATGTAGTTCCTGGAAGCTCGAAAACGCGGTCAGCGGCTCGGCGAGCAACTGAAATTGTAATATTTGATGTCAACTATTTCAATTTCCAAATCGCACTTTTTACTGGAGCCGGTTGATATTCAGGAAGAAGTGGCTTCTCAGCATAATCAAGACTCAAATTGCGATAGTAATTCAAATGATTAACAAAGTTGTAAATCATTTGAAGAGCCGGTCCCGGACGATCTTTTGGAACAAAATGTCCAGCTCCCTAAAATTGGGAACTAAATAAAATTTGTGTTTTCAGATTTGTTTTTCAGAAAACAAATATATGTATGAGTTAGTCATTCAATTTTACCGAATCTTTTTGTATAAGTCCCAGTATATTAAAATAAAAAAAAGCTCCGCGAAGATATTTTGGCGTTTTTGCTTTCCGGGAAAGCCTTTCCCCAAAAAAATATAAATGCAAAATTTCGCAGGGTCGACTGCGTTCACTGCCGCTCTTTTTCCTATACTGAGTATAGTATACTCTATTCCCTTGGGTGTCTGCATGTCTGTGTGGTTCGGCGCGTTGGTTTGGTGACATTTGTACACAACCAACGACAGCGTTCCCGTCAGCAGCGATGTCCGAGTGGTTAAGGAGTTGGACTTGAAATCCAATGGGCATTGCCCGCGTAGGTTCGATTCCTGCTCGCTGCGTCAAGTTTTTTGCGCAATTTCTAACATGATTTAAAATTTGTTAGGTCAACTTAAGTCATTCTTTATAAGTCATATGAGTTAAAATTGAATTTTGTTGCCGTAAAAATATGACATTATAAGATTGAGAATGAGGATCGTCAAAAAGTGTCGGAAAAATTTAGACTGAATGAATAATTGTAAATCTTTATGGCTGTGCTATCTTAAAACCATAAAGATACATTGATTTTCGTGAATATTAAAATAAGACACAAAATCAAAAAACTGTTTTAACTTGTTTTGTTGATGTACATTCATTATTGCTACTGGTATAATTTCGAAGGTCATGAAAAAACACTATGGCCTATTCTGTCTCTTGGTTGTCTCTACGTCTTTTCGGCGCCCCAATTCAATGCCGATTATACGCGCCCAGCAGGGCTTTTCTCGCCGGCAGCGATGTCCGAGTGGTTAAGGAGTTGGACTTGAAATCCAATGGGCATTGCCCGCGTAGGTTCGATTCCTGCTCGCTGCGTCAAATTTTTCTTCTTATTTTCATGGTAACAGTTTTCAAACGGTTGGATTGTTGCGAGTAGCTTTAAAAGAACATACCTTCACTGTCAGCTGATCAATGACAACTTTTGAAGATTTCTCATTGTTATTGTAGGTGAATTGTTTCCAATAGCCACCAACTCTCGGAAGATACCTGAATTCCAGTTTTTTATAGCTAGAATTGCTGCTTTTCACGTACGATCCTTGTGTATAATTCCATGGTCCATGTTCTTGGGTAACGCTCATTGAATTACTAGCTGCCAATCTCTCAATGAACCACTGGTCTCCAAGGAATTGGCATGCCATATCAACATCTCCATTGTAGATCAAAATGTTCAAATTATAACCAGAGCTCAAAATTCGCTGGAACACTGGCGTCGTGTCATGGTTTAACTGTTTGTAATTCTCATTAATATCAAGATTGCAGTCCTCCCAATGTGGGTAGTGGTCGATGATGTGAAGATCTTTCCGAACTTGTGGAATATTCAAATAGTTCTCTGCTGTGTCGCCGGAGAAGCATGAGAATCCCATATTGGCGTCGGTTGATTTATAGTTAATCTTTTTTGCTTGATCAACGAATAATTGTTTTGGAAGAAGCGGATTGACATCAGCAGAGCGTTTAGAACGCCGAGACTTCTTGATTCCTTTAGCAAACTCGTTCAACTTCGAGTCTGATGAAGCACCTTGGTCGTAGCAATCAGTGTAGGTATTGTAAACGTTGTTGCTAAATATAAGAAAATTCAAACTTTTTTTGCGCTTGAATTAACTTACTCAGTCTCCCACACATCCAAAACCGTTTGAATAACAAGATTTCCACATTTGCCTTCGAGTGTATTTGGGTCAGGATTTGATGGCCAACCATTTCCGTACAAATCGAGAGTATAGTACTGTTTGAAATCACAGTACGATAAAGGAGTTGAAGTATTACAACATTGAATGAGAGAATCAAAATCACTTAAACGTCATTATTTTGCAAATAAATGAAATTAAAAAGACGTACTTCTTTCCATGAAGACCTCTAAAGTACATCAACGACTGTGCGGAGTTAATTTGATCGTATTCCGAAAGTTCTCCATTTCCAATAGCGATTCCAGAAAGGTTCACATAGCTCATAGTATTGTCCTAGAAACCCAAAACTTGCAATTTTATCTGATTTTTGAATTACCAAAATTTTGTTAATAACGGCTTCTGTTAATGTCGGGACATAAACTCCACCATACGACTCGCCGGTGATGTAAAAGGGACGGTTTTTATATTCTGGGAATTTATCGAAGAATGATTGAAGAGCGAGAATTGTGTCAGCGGTGGTCTAGAATATAATATATCGTTTTAAAATTGCACTAGTTTTCAATTAGTAACGAACCATATTGTCATCGTAGGTATTCAGATTTGGATCCGTCGTGTATGAAAATCCAACGCCTCTTGGGGATTCCAGGAACAATACATTTCCAACCTTGTTCCAAGAGAATTGATTCTCGAACAGAGTTTCTCCATCAGCATTAACATGGAAAGGGCCAAGCTCTTCAAGGAATCCTCCAAGTGAAGAACATCCTGGTCCACCGTTAAGCCAAAGAATTAATGGATCAGTTGAAGGATTTGATTGCGATTCGACGAGCCAATAATGAAGATAAGTGTTGGCAGAAGCAGTGAGATATCCAGAATATTGCTTGAAGTTGGGCTTAAATGTTAATCCGGTCAAATTTTCAATTTCATCTTGATCTTTTGTTTGGAATGGTGGTGGCGGTAGTTCATCTCGCTGATCCTTCTTTGTGGTACGTTCTGCCTAAAATAAGCAATTTCGTAGCTCTTTAAAACAATCTATATACATTAATTCTAGATTTCTTGATTTTTTTGCTTTTTATTTCCAAGCGATTTCCATTGCTTTTTTTAATAGCCAACCCTGGCTGCATTCCAGTGGCACTTCGGTTCAATGAACTTGCAAGCTATAATAGATTATGATTAAGTCTGGAAATTTCATTATTTTTATGCCTTCTCTGCGAACTGATAAGTTTTCTTAAGCGGATGCAATTGAGTGTCCAAGATGGTTGGATTGCTGTAATCTTGATCGCGGAAATAATTAGCCATCATTTGAAGGGCTGGTCCTGGGCGATCAGTTGGCACAAGATGTCCAGCTCCCTAAAAATTGAATATTTCTTTCTACAAAACGTTGCAATCCTATCCACCTTCACTGTAAGCAAATCAATCTTGAATCCTTTTTGATTGTCAAACGTTTTGGCATAGCCGGCGATTTGCGTCTGATACCTACAAAATTTTTATATATTATATTTATCATTGATCTTATATATGAGACCTCCAGACATCGCGCGCTTTCGTGACTGGAATTTGGTTGGCTGAAGCGAAAAATTCAATAAACCATTGATCTCCCAGAAAGTTGCACGCTTGATCAACGTCTCCATTGTAAATAAGAACGTGAAGTGGATACTTGGAACTGAATAGCAAAAATGTTAATTTTATGTGAGGTCTGAAAATTTATACTCCAAGATATGTTGAAACACTGAAGTAGTGTCATTGTGCTGCTGAATATATTTCTCGTTAATGTTATCGCTAAATTACAAAGAACAATTAGTTAAACAAGAACGTTTCTCTTTATATTACTTGCAAGCCGACCAATTTCCAGCATTCTGAGCGACATGAAGGGCACTGCGTACATCAGGAAGATTAATCCAGCTGGCTGCTTTATCGTTTCCGTAGCAAATCAAGCCTCCTTGATTGTCCGTTGAGCTCTTGGAAACTTGAGAAGCTCCGTCAACGAATCCCTTCATGAGTCTTCGCTTTTCATAATTTGTCATTCTCGATCCAAATGCGCGTTCCGATTGTTCATAGCAATCTTGATATATATTGTAGACGTTATTCCTATCATTAGAAAACTGAAAATCCTATTTCCCAAATTAATCATACAAGCTCTCCCAGAATCGTGTCTGCCCAAGCGCAACGACCTTCTTTGCACAATCTGAGTCATCCTTTGGAATTGCATTTCCACTAGTATCCAAAGAGACATATTGCGAAAAATCGCAGTACTCGAATACGTCGGCATTCTTACAGCATTGTTGAAGAGAATCCCAATCGCTAAAACTCATATATCAATATATAATACAAGACAAAAAGAAACAATACTCTTTGCTATAAAGCCCATGGAAGTAGCCCATCATAATAGCGGAATTGAATTGTTGAATTGCTGACAATTCTCCATTTCCAATCGACATTCCCTTGAGGTTGAGTTGCGGGAATTCTCCAGACTGTAATATAATCCTTATCATCCATTTAATTTGTTTTTTCAATTTACTTGGATCTTGTCGATAAGAAGTGAAGTGATGGTTGGAACGTACACACCACCGTATGATTCACCAGTGACATAGAATGGACGGTTGATGTATTCAGGATAGACGGAAAGAAAATCCTTGAGAGCCAAATAAGTGTCAATGGCTGTTCTCTCATCATCCCAAATCGTATCGTTATTGAGGTTAAAATCTTGAATGGAGAATCCGACACCCCTTGGTGATTCTAAGAACAACACATTGGCGACCTTATTCCATGAGTACACATTTTCGAACAATGTTTTGCCGTCGGGATTCGGATGAAATGGGCCCAACTCAGTGAGAAGCGCCATCAATCCCGAGCATCCTGGGCCACCAGTGAGCCAAAGAACAAGTGGATCTGTCATTGGATTTCCTTGCGATTCGAGGAACCAATAGTGCAAATAGTTTCCGGTAACACCGTTCAGATATCCAGAATATTGTTTGAAGTTGAGCCCATACGTGATTCCTGGGAGATTCCATACGCGATCGGCTTGCTTCCTCGTCCCTGAACATTAATTGGTCTTTCGTTCTTCGTCATAATGATGATTTAAGTAGTTCACTGATAATAACCTTATCAATAGTACAATTTTAATCTTACATGTCTTTGCCGGAGGCGCAGTATATTGTGGTCTCAATGGTGCTGGAGTTAAGTCGAAATTTGATGTTAAACTATAATTGGCGTTGTTCAAAAAGTTTACGAACATTTGAAGAGCAGGTCCTGGACGATCCATTGGCACCATATGACCTCCACCCTAAAACTTTATTTTAATTTGAAAAATGCAGTTTTTAAAATTTCACCTTAACAGTCAAAAGATCAATTGAAAAGTTGGAATTTGTCCACGACTTTACGTAACCGGCCAATGATGGCAAATAATTCCCTCCAGCACGTGTATAAATCCATTCTTGTCTTGGTAGAGTGTTTTTCATCTAAATAAAATAAATGTTTCTCACGACTTTCAATTTCAAACCAACATTGTAACCATTCACAAGATCCTCGACGAACCATTGATCTCCCAAGTAGTTACATGCAAGATCAATATCTCCATTATAAATCAGTGCTCGGATTGGGTAGTTGGAATCAATTATGGATTTGAAGGTGTCCGTGAGATCAGGCGTTTGTTGAATGTAGTATTTTTCGTTGATGTCATCGCTGCACTCATCCCATGCTTGAACGCTGTCAGGAATATGTAAAGCTTGTCGAACATCATTTCTTTGCAAGTAATTGATCGTAGAATCATCATTATAACAAGGATATCCTTTAAGAGCATCAGTTGAATCAGTATTGATAAGGGCCTGAAATTGTCCAGCCAACTTAGTATGAATTAAGTTTTCTTGCTGGTACCCCTTGATCGACAAATGGGTTGACACCATTGCTGAAAAGATTCAAGCTGCTTGCTCCAGTAGTCGATAGTGCGCTTCGCATAAGTCTTCTACTTGTCTTTCGATGAATCTCGTTGTGAATTTCTTCATTGTTACCACTCTTGTCAGAAAAATCATAGCAATCTTGATAGCTGTTGTAGACGTCATTGCTAGAAAAACTGATGTTTTGAGTTTCAATATTTTGTTCATTACTATGTCATCCACACGGAGTTCAACGACATCTTGACAACCATTTGCGCGCATTGAATGCTCTGCGGATCATTGGTATTATTTAGTGGCACCGGATCTCCAAAATCGTTAAAGGTAACAAACTGAAATGATAAATTCATTGTGAAAATTTTAAACATTATCTTAAATCGCAATTACCTTGGAGAAATCGCAGTCAATAATTGGTCCTTGTTGGACTTCCGAACAGCACGGCTTCAAGTTTTCCCATTCACTGAAATGACAATATTGAATATATATATTTTTTATTTTGTGAATTCGAACGCGGTTCCGATCATTCCTCGGCTGTAGAGCAAGTTGATTGCTGAGTTGGTCAGCTGTTTTCGACTTAGCGCACCATTGCCAACAGCGAAACCTTTTAAGTTAACGTTTGCAAGGGTTCCATTCTGGAAAAAAGGCAACAATTTTATTTTGACGGCAGAATAGGTGACCCACTTGAATCATTTTGATGAGCAAATTAGTAAGAGTTGGAACGTAGACCCCACCATAAGATTCACCGGTAACATAGAAGTCTCGATGTTGGTATTCAGGGAATCTTTGGAAAAATTGCGCGAGAGCAAGAGCGTTATCGGCTGCTGTTTTCACATCATTGTAGACGGTGTCCTTTGGTGCTGACGAATCGCGATAGGAGAATCCAACATCACGCGGCGATTCAAGATACAAGATATTGGCAGCTTTGTTCCAAGAGTTTGGATTCTCGATGACCGATTTTTGATCCTTTGCAATTCGATATGGACCATTTTCGGAAAGGATTCCTAATAGTGACGAGCATCCTGGGCCACCATTAAGCCATAGAACAAGTGGAGCATTTTGAGCATTTGTCTGAGCTTCGACCAACCTTAAAACAGCGTCTTCGTTTACAATGTGGGTTATCAATGCTATTAATGTGATTAAAATTTGATATCAATGTAAATGAAATATGTTCAGCTTAAATTAATAGAACGGTTCTAACGTAATCGACTTACCAGTAATGAAGATGATTTCCTGAAGAAGCGTCGAGATAACCGGAATATTGTTTGAATGTTGGGTCGAATGTGAGCCCGGGTAGATCAGCAATGAGATCGGAGTCCTTGTCAGCAAGATTTGCCGCCGGAGCCGCCAGTGCGACTCCAACCAGTAGGCCCAATAGGCCAAAGGAGCAGAGCATACTGGGTGAGTCGGCAATGAACGAGTGAAATTCGCCGCAACACTTTATCAACGATGACGATGAGCTTGCCCGCCTATTTGTTACCCTTGGGGAATCCAAACGAAAAATGCACTTTGAACGTGTTAAATACAGTCTGCTTGAGGACTCTAAGGAAAATGACAAGTCACCTTGTTCTGAAAACCTGAAACCATGTAGGAAATGTCAAAAAGTGTTGCCAGATGACTAATCATAACAAAAAAATATTTTTGTTTGCAATTTTTAACAATGTTTTTTTGGACGATTTAACCTGAAAACCTTTTGATACCAATATTCATATGGTTGTTAAAAGAAACCGAATCGAGAGAGATGTTTATGTTTCAATTTTTCTTTACAGTAAACATTTTTTGTGGAGTTTCTTTAGAGCATTATTTTCCATAGAAATTTCAATATGAGAGTTTTGGGTTTTCAATAGCATATATAAAAAATTACAGGAAACCAACTAAAGGTTATTTCTCATATGAGCGAATATGAGAAATATGAGTTGCGCGGACTGTTAATTAATTGGTCCGTCATTTCACAAAATGTAAAAAATTATGATATTTCACTTTGTAATGGTCAAATTATACAAAACCTACTTCTAAGACTTTTTCCATAAGACACCTAAAACAGTTTATTCGTTTTTGGTATTTTTTATATATTTTTTTTTCGAAAGGAATTGTCAATTTCATTTTTGTCAAGTTATAATATCCAAATGCCTATTGATTTAGGTTTTCAGTTTAAAAAAAATGATAAAAAATTGGAGCAAAGCAAACTTTTGTGGGACAGGGATTGAAAGAAAACACCCAGTGAAATAAATAGGCTAGGGTTTTATGGACCTGGGGGTGTTGATCCGTCCATATTTTATTAATTGACCCAACATCTGGCGAAATGGAACGATGAAAAATGAGTTTTGCGCAATAGTGGATGGATGGGAAATGGAAAAAAAATCTAAAGCCGTGTTTTCAAAGTCTTGTGAGAAACTCGGGCTCCTCAGAGATGTGCTATAATTGAAATATCTTAAACAAAACCAGATTGAAATCAGATATGACTATTCCATCAGTATTTACAATTTTTGTAAGTTTACTCTCAATTACATCAAGTTGCATTGAATCGAATCATTTTTCTAATAATTATGTAACATTCTGATAACCGGCATAATACTTGACAAATCTGATAAATGTTTCTATTTAATGTTTATTCTAACGTAATCAATACACGACAATTGAACGAACATATCTTGATTAAACAATAGAATTTGCAATGTTTGATCAGTTCAATTTCCATGTGCGCATTACTTTTGGCACTGTCATAAATATGTCAGTTACTTAGTAAACTTGATCATCATTATCTTCAATAATCGTTGACGCAAATTGTCCGGTTTTTTTTTCACGTTTTAAATCGGATGAGTTTTCGAATAATTGAGGCAGGTGTCAAAACTGATATAAACAAATAAAAAGTAGAAAATTGTTTTGAAAACGTTCTCGCAGTTGGCATTGAACATGTATTGAATCTGAATGAAATTGAGCTCCTCAATTTTTCTCGATATCCAGAAATAATTGATCTGGAAAAGAGGTCGTTTGGAGGAATCAATTTTTCTTTACTAAGGAATTTGTAGCTGGCGTGATAAATTGAAGGTCGAAGAATCGAAGAGACACGGACTTGATTCTTGCAAGCTGAAATTTGTTGCTCGATGACTTTTCAATAACGGAGCAGCTCACATTTCGGTTGACCAAGCAGCTCACTGCATATAATATAACAAAGGGACCCATTACAGCAAATAGAAACATTAACGATGCCCGATTTTTGAGCAACAACACGTATGTATAAAAAACAAGTAAAAACCATAAAAGAAGAATTGACGGAATTTTAGAGCGAAGCGTTTCAAGGCACATGGTTATATCCTGCAAAAAAAAATTTTAATCCGTCTACCAATGCAATAATGATTTTACTACTTTCATCCGTAACCCCAGATGTTCATATTCAGTCTTGCCGTTGCATTTCTCCAACAATTTTTGAATTCCCTCCAATTCCTCACCAAATCGAAATAAAAAGTTGGTGAAGAGTGCAAGAGCAGATAAAAGGCGAATGGAGATGATAATGTGGAGTAGCGTGAGAGCTGTGTCAAACGCACTATAATTGGAGTTGAATATCAATTGCGACGAAACTAATATCAGAATAAAGCTGCTAAGCAGAAGCAGGATTACCGTTAGTGTTCTGAAAACAAAAATCTCAAGGAGTCGGTTAAAATTCTTCCAGAATAATCTAATAAATTCTGATGATACCAAAATTATCAAATTATTGATTTTCACAGTTTCGATTAAAATTAAAGTTTTTAGAAATTACGTTATTTGATGATTTTTCAAGGACACAAAGCTAAGAGCTCGTTCCTTCGAAATTTTGTTTACAATGACGCATTCTATAATTTTGTCAAAGATGCCGCTTAAAAATGCCGTCATTTGTTGATTTTTACGAGCTGGATATTTTGTGACTTCCTTTTTTCTTCAACTTCTCTCTTCACCTTTTTAATGACGATCTTTGATAACGAGTTTCCATTGAGTTTTCGAAAAACCGTGCAAATTCAATTTTCGACGTGCAAGTTAATGATAAGCATACATTGAGCGATATTATCGAAATGCCTAAAATCATCATATCATACGCTCGCCAAAAACGCGTATCGCCGCGATTACATTGAACTCACCAAATTGTATATTTCGCAGGGTCCAAATTTCTCGAGGGAACGTGACAAAAAAGTGAGCCAAGTGAAGCACATAGAAAAATACAACAATTGCCAGATAAATCGAATTATACGAAAAATAAAGGAACAAAAATTTGATTAAAAATTCGGCAATGTTCCGTTCATGCTCAAGTTTGAGCCCCTGAAATATAGCGATATTTTTCATGATAATAATAATAGTAGATCATTTGAACATTACATGTATGCTCACCTTAAATCGGCATTTTTTAGAAACGTTTTTCAACGCGTTTTGAGACGAAAGAGGCATGTCGGTGTAGTTGGAGTAAGTTTGTGCCCAATTTCTGTCAGATTGTGAGCAATTCACATTCAGCATGAATGCGTTACCGGAAGCCGGATGTTCTTTTGAGTTCGTTATATTTGGGATATTGCCCTGCTTCATATTTTTGAGTCACTATTCTAGGTTGTAAAATTGAACAAAATATGAACATATTTATGTGTGACCATACGCCTTTTATATACTATGTACGTTCAAAAAAAAAATACCACACATGTTGGACCAATGGGAATTGCATTTCCTTTAGTCTTTTGGGAATTGCATGCACATAAAAAACACGCATGTGTAAAGAACATGTCTGAAGTTTGATGGGAACAAAAGATAAATTTTACCAACCTTCGAATTTGATTTTCGGACGTTGAAACTCTTCTGATTGAAACATCAAGAACAATTTTTGTTTTTTAAAGCAAAATAATGTGCAGGTTCTTTTGCTTCGGAATAGCAAAAACTAAAAAAATTTGAATATTTCGCACTAATTACTGCAAAATTATCGAGAAGTTCTTCTACAGGGTGTCATTTAAGTTCCCGCACAAAAGTTTGACGCCATGAAGAGCTTGGCTGGCGCACTTTTCGTGCACCAATACAATTTATTTTTGTTAAATAAGGTATATTTTACTTACTTTCCAAGTTTCACCTCTTTCGGATGTGTTTCCGAGAAATGGCGAAGGCTAACATCCATCGCGCTTCCATTATCGAAGTTCATAAGCAAAATGTGAGCTCGAGAGACATCATTCAACGGGTCGGTGTGCCTCGTAGAACGGTTTGCGACACCATCAAACGTTTCAAGGAGCTAAATACGACCAGTCACCGTCCCAGACAAGGAAGACTCGTCTCAGTAACCACTCCTCAGAAGATCAACGCCGTCAAATCGAGGATCAGGCGAAACCCCCACAGGAGCATGAGAAAGATGGCGTTAGACATGGGAATGAGCATCTTCGCTATGGAACAAATTGTCAAAACGAAGCTTGGACTGACCCCATATCGTGTCCAAAAAGCGGCAATTCTATCGGCCGTCAGCAAGCAGAGACGCTTCGAAAAAGCAAAACGACTTCTTGCTCGCACGCGGTCTGGACAACACCTCGTCACTGTCTTCTCCGACGAGAAGCTGTTCACTGTGGAGACGGCATTCAACTCACAAAACCATTGAGTACTTGCCCAGACATCCCAGCAAGCTTCTGAGAAAAGAAGAACATATCATCCAGCCTCACATCCTGCCAGCATGATGGTTTTCGTTGCCATCTGCTCAACCGGGAAGTGCCCCCTGGTTTTCGCGGATCAGGGGGTGAAAGTGAACAAAGAAGTCTACGTTCGGGACATTTTGGAGAAGCATGTGATGCCCTGGACCCAAACGCATTTCGGTGGGCAGAAATGGGTCTTTCAACATGACGGAGCAGCCGCCCACACTGCCAAAACTACTCAGGAGTGGTGCCAGACCCATTTTCCCGACTTCATCAAGTCATCCGAATGGCCTGATTGCTCCCCAGACCTGAACCCGCTTGACTTTCCCGTGATGGGGTCTTGCAGGAGAAGGTCAACGCAAAACCCCATTCAAGTGTAGAGGCTCTGAAGAAGACATTACTGGCGGAATGGGACAATCTTTCCATCGAATACCTGCGTACCACAGTCGCATCCTACCCGAAGCGTTTCCGTGAAGTCATAGCTGCGAAAGGAGGCCGAATCAAAAAGAGTTAATAGATAAATATTTTTTATACTATAGATAAAAAATATTTTGAGTCTCGTTTGATTTGGACTTTTAGTTTCAGAAATATACGTCTTCAAAGTTGTGCGGGAACTTAAATGACACCGTGTAGTTCGTTTCTAAGAAAACTTTCCAAAACAAAACATTAACTTCTTTACAAAATAAGTGAAAAAGGAAAATGCAGGAAAAGTTTGAAATCATATTGGTTTCATTTTCAAACACAGATAATTTCTTTTTGGTGATTTTCTCGTTAGTTCAATATTCTTTCGTGATGAAACATTTTGACTACGAAATGTTTGTATAAAACACTTGTATTGGTTCCATTTCAATATCTTCAGTATGCGTTTTCAACAATGCTTATTGTTATGCGATCCGATGGACTAGACAAAAACGCACACCTGATGATCTCTTGTTTGTAGGTAACGCTTGAGAGTGTGTGTCCACATTCGGAGCGGGTGAACTCCCCCCCCCCCCCCCCCCCCCCGAGGGTGCGCGGGTGTGGTCACTAGCGTATGGTACTCTACAGTGAGAAGATGATGCACTTGAGGCTAGACTCTTCAAAAATGCGAGTGATACGTATTGAGCACACATCGCTCTTGATTGTTCACTTCATTCCTTGTAGAAATTGCCTCCCATCTGGTTCACCAAAGCTATAGCATTTTAAGTAGTTTTGCCGCTATTACGGTTTATGGTGGTGTAATAGTTGCATGCTACTTAACATGCTCACCTTTGAGCATTTTCCTAATTGAGTATTGTCTATTTAAAAATCATTCATTGGCATATTATTACTAAATATACTACGATGATCATGATCACGAAGAAAATTATATCTCCTCGAGGTTGACGTTGAAGAAGCTCGCGATTGGTGAGAAGTATATGAGGTAGTTGTTGAACCACGTTTCACTGAAATTTCCAAATATTATAAATTTAAAGGAAATGTTTACATAATGGGCGATTGAATCGTATTGGCTCCAAGTGTAAGATTGATTCAACTCTATCACGACGCTGAAATTCTAATTGAGGTAAAAAAAAAGGTTATCTGATGGTTATACCTCATCTTGCAAATCATCAAGAATTTGGACGCTTTTATGAATTTTTGATGATCGTTTTCGATTTTCTCCGAGCTCCAATGCCAAATTTATACTTCTAGATAGTCCTGAAGTCTGAATACTTTGCAAATTCGTCATTTGTTTTGATGGTCTGGAGCATTTTGAAGCAGCCCTAAAAAGAAAAATTGAAACATTTCAACTATTGGTTTCAAATGCCTACTAAGCAATAATCCATTCAATTCCCTAGTTTGGCGATAACTCTGGAAATCCTTTCCAATTATGGCTCGTCGTCTCGATGTCAGTCGTTTGTCCTCTTCCGGTGCTAATTCATTATTTCCCACATCCTTCGACAATAAAGAATGGAAGACAAGTTTAAAAAGGAATATGAACATTTCTAAAAGTGTTATGCAACTGCATCCCATGAATAAAGAGCTTGCACCACCAAGGTTCGCTGAAAATTATCCTATTAAGCTGAATGTCGGTAAAATCTTAACTCACATAATATATCAACTATTCCGGTTTTCCGGATTTCATGGACTACTGTAATGTATGATTGGGACCTCATTGAAATAACACTTGAATTTTTATTGACAAATGTGCGAGAATAAATAACTTCGATCTTGTCTTCAACGCACGGCGGATAACATTGATAACCTGAATGAAATGTCAATCAGTCCCCGTAAGAGATACTCATATACCAAAAAATTGAATAAGAGATTTGTAAAAGCTATATTTAAAATGGAAGAAGAATCTAAGCCAATCATTTGTTTTGATATCATCATTTCCAAGAAAATACTCTACAAACAAAAACCTTGTGAATAGAAAGGATTAATTTGAATAAATGAGCGCTATTGTGCGCTTCTGGAGGATCTTACAAATGATATTTTGATTTTTTTGCGAAGATTATATTAAGTTACTCACATTCTTGAATGTCACGAATTTCTCCATACAACCTCCTTCTTTCTATTTCACATTCTTCCAAGCTGTACGACTCATTCGGCGATGTTATAATCCATGGAACCGAATCCCAAGAATCATAGCAATTCGAATTCACAAGGTTCAAGCGATGAATCTAAACTGATGACTGTAATCAAGATTAAAGTTGGAGAAAAAATGATTCGCTAATCTTTCCTTAATTGGTTGCAATGGATTTTGTGGGGTTTCCTCATGTGAACTGTTGTATTTTGAACTACCAAAGATTGTTTTAATCATACTAGTTTTTTATTTCAATTGATAGGAAATGACACACTTGCCCACTTGGATATGCTTTAAACGTAATCGATGATGAATTCCTGGATTCCCTTTGAAGTACCATTTTCTTGGATTCCGATTTATTTTGAGAAAAAAACCTGGAATTTTGATAAAATCTCATTCAAATAGAGCAGACTTACTTTTGGGAATATTTTCTAATTTGAGATGGTTTATAAACGAAGCATTTATGCATTTCGAGTTTTCATTATGACACGATAAAAAGAAATTGGAGCTATTTGGGCAATTATAGCTGAAAAGTTAATTAACGAGCTTCAAGCATATCATCGAACCCTTACAGATATTTCGAGCAAATTTCAACATCAAATTTTTGTTCGGCATTTTTTTCTGAATTTTTCCGCTGAAACGAGTGTTGTTTCGAATATGTGCTTATCATTAAACCACACTGAAAGAGTTTGTTTAACGATAAGAAAAAAACTATCAAAATACGACTGATAATCCACTTACAACAATCATATAAAACACCAAGCATGTTGTGACTACCAAGCACCAGAAAATTAAAGATGGCCAGTTTTTCGAATTGAAAACTCGAATCTGAAGGATTAAATCAGGCAAATTGATATATTGAGGGGCAATCACCAACCATTCCATGAAAAGTTGTCAACTCAGTATATTCATCGCAACCTTCATGACCGGCGCGAATATAGTGATTACAGATGTTTAAATCGTCATCGGTTTCACTATCAGAATCGGTTGCAGAACTTGCTGAAATTGTGAGATGAAGGAATTCGAAAATTTCGGTTCATTTTTTTCTTTCGGCAAACATTTGAAACTCTTATAATACAAGGTCATTTCGAATCAAATTAACAGTTATCAGAACAAAAAGGAGATTGAATTTAAAAGAATATGAAACCATTTTATTTTTACGAATCAAGAACTCGAATCGTGAGAATTATGAAGTTAGAAAACAAAGAATCATGATTATGTAGGTTTTTTGGAGAAATGAATTCATAATTGTTTTGCTGGTGTCTTACAACTTACATGACTCTGAAACTTGATCATCGCTTTCCATCATTACCTAAAAAATGGCAGATTGATAAAAACTCGCGTAGTGTTATCAAAAAATTCAACAATCAGGTGTGATAAAAGGTTTATAAATGTAAATATAAGAGAATTAAATCACATAAGCATCAATTAAGACAATCCCTTGACTCTCCAGGAAGGACAGCATTAATATTGAGAATTCCAACATCAAACGTTTTTGCTGGTGTTTCGCCCTCGGTGATAAAATCATCGGGAACAGTGATTTCAACTTTTCTCCAGCATTCCTGAAATTTTTTACATTTCTAGATATATAGGTGTCCACTTTTTAAAAAATTTTAGTAAAAATTTCTTACAATGGCTTCGTCATGGCAATTGTGATAGATATTGAGTTTCGGATCGATGTTTGTCCATTCAGTATCATTTCCGGAAATTTCGAACACTCCTTCAGCGTTCGTTAATCCTTCCGCCATTAGTGTGTCCTTGACTGAAACCAAACAAATTAAAACTAAACTCTAGGATGTCGCCTTACTTGGATCAACCTCGTATAACTTGATTCTCGCCTTTTCATATCCTTTTCCGTCGCAGAGCAGCTTTCCCTTAACTGAAGTCGATTGGACACGCCGTTTAGGGATCAAATCAGGCAATGGATTGCAAATTGCAATAAGCGGGAGAAGAAGGACAAAAGCGAGCGACCTCATCTCTGAAAACTTACAATGAGAATGATGATTCAAGTGATGAAACGATATATAGATTTGGCGAGAACAATGACAATTCCAAATGTGTAAAGTCTTCGCTTTATCAATTGAAAAGATCTCGCCATAAAACGAGTCGATTGAATTTCAATGACACCTTTGATCTGGTATGAAAACAATCGAAGTTACATTTTGAAATATATTCGGTTGAATGGACAATTTATAATTGCGTCGTTATGTATTGGAAACAAATAGAAAACGATTATACTCTATCATTTTAAGGTTATATTTGAGTGCGACTCAATCAATATTTTTTGTTGAATCTTGTGAATTCCGATTGACATCTTCACCTGTGAAGAGAATAAAGAACCTACATATATCATTGTTAGAAAGATCTCAAGTGATAACTAAAACTTGATAACATATCCTTTTGTATACAAATCCCTTTTCCAATAAAAAAAAACTATAGATTTCCAACAGATTAAATACAAAATTAAAGCACAAAATGCACAAATGTTTGAACAACTTGTGTACCAGATTTCTGAGCAGTGGCTTATATGTATTGGACAATCTAAATTCTTTTTCTTATAGATATGAAATATGATTGCAATTGGCCGAAAACTAAAATACATGAAGATCATTATTTTATAAATTGTATTGAAATGAATTGTGGATACGTTTCAAATTTGAGTTTAACATTTGATAATTTCTAACTGGCACTATTATATGTAATATAGTAAGCAGAAACGTCTAGAATAGATGCGATTTTAGTTTTCCTTGGTTTCCTACGAAAAAACAATTTTTGAGAAAATTATTTCTTCTAGTAAAATACATAGTAACCATAAGAAAAAATATATTATAGCATTTTGATTTTATATTATGTTGTGACCTGTTGTGTGTGTGTGTGTCTGTGAGAGGCAAAGCTGCCATTCGCCGATCCACTTTTTACATCAGTTCAAAGTTTTACGGCATGCAATAAAAATGTCGGGGCGGAAAACTGGTATATAACAAGAGCGATCATTTTATTATTATTCAAGTCATCGAAAATTGATTTGTGCCATGATTGAAGCAACGCCAATTTTTTTGTTAGAACTCGCACACTTTTCCGAAACTTGGCTCGGGAAATTCTGCCGCCCTTTAGTAACTATTCTCGATTATACTTGGTCCATAACTCAACATCTTGTATGATTAATTCGCTAATCAAAATGAAACGGCGAGACCAGTCATTCGTCGAAGGAAAGTTCGCCCGACGGATCGGATTAAGTGTTGATAAATTCCAGTAATGAGCTGGCACCAAATCTTGTCCACCCTCGTTCGAGAAGGATGAAGAAGAAGGAAAAAATGACTAGATATCGACTAGCATATCTCCCACGCGAAATCAGAAATCAATGATTAATCAAAAACTAGGGCAAGTAAAAATGAGAGAGTTGGACATAATTACAAACAAAAGAGCAACATATTGCATGAAACATATCAAATGTGCAAAAATGGTCATGACAAACGGAAAAGCGTCATTGGAAAGATGGGAAGAGCAAACGAAAAACTATGTAATACTCATAGGGTGACCGTTCTCTTCAATTTAATTAACGTCAATTTCAAAAATTCAATTTCCTGTGTTGAAAAAAATGCGTCACATTCGTAACTTTTCATTGTATATAATAGTGTGAACAATTCCTTCTTTTTTTCTTTTAATATTGTTCGCAAAAATCTTTTTGAGTTCACTTTTCATTACATTCATTAATACTACGAAATTATTGGAATAATTAAAACAAAAATAAAATATCTGAAAAGTGCATTAACGTAACATGATATTAATGACAAGCTCCAATTTTTTTAATATCTGGCTTTTAGCCAATACATTAATGTTTCATCTCATATTATCATAAGTAGATTTTGGCTTAAATCGGGATATTGTATTTTCAATATTTAAGACGATCATATGAAGCGTAATAGATCTTACACGAAGCTGTTGATCCGTGATTTATTGTATTGCGAATTGCGTCGGTCCACGTTTGAATTCTAATTGATTTCACGTGATGAGCCGCTTCAAAGCAATGCATTGAAAATTGTCTGCCATTTGGCAATATCCGATGAACTTTTAAAATTGCATTGATAGTCGCCACTGACTCACACCTGAATTTTAGTTCATCCTGTCAGTAAGCGTTCCAGTTAATTAGATGAATCATCTTCCTGAAATTTTTGGGATTCTTCCGAATGTCCGGCTAATCGAATTTGTGGAGCGGTGGTGGTTGAAGAGGAGCAATTAATCAACACCAAAAACTAAAAAAGTCCTTCCGAAAGCGATCAGCTAAGAACGATAATGGATAATTCAAAATTTTGGTGAATATCTCATCACTAGATTGAACAATGTTCAGAATAATGACACCAAATTAAATTTTGAATTGATCAATTACAGAATGATAAAAATTTAAAATAATAATAATGATTTAAATAAACATTCTCAACATTGGAAAATAACCAAAATTCTGGATAATCTTCATAATTTTGCGAAAATCCACGTTTTAGACAGTTCGTGCTCATTTCTTGAAACTAGAGAGCTTGATCTGGAATGGTAAAGCTTTCGCAGAAAATAGGGATTATTAACAATTATTAGACTCCTCGAAAAACCGTTTCTAATCTGTATAATCTCCAAAAACATAGTACGTTATCCATCAAAGGCAGATTCTGTACCATGTGCGCGCGCACTAGGCATCATTCGCTTCCCAACTATACCTACGTGATATTCTGAAATCTCATGCCTGAAACGGTGCTCTAATAACCTAACCGTTTCTAATCTTCTTCGCTTACTGGTCATCATCAGTTAATAAGAGGGGATTAGGGATTTTTTCTCTCTTCCAAACACCACTTGTTCCAGATTTGCAAAAGCTTAGCAATGCAATAAAAAATGTGTGGCTCCGCCTACTTATCGCTATTCATACTAGGGGATGAACAATCCCTATATAAGGAGCGGTGTCAGTACTGAGGCACTCATTATGCGATAATTAATTGCCTCGAGCCTTCCGGTGCCTGGTTTCGGCTCCACCTCTTCCGTTGCCTCATCGATTTTCAGTAGTTATAGTATCTTGTCTCAAGTTTTCATTACTGTAGTTCAAAAAATTGTAATTTTAGTGACTAACAGAACATTGAAATCGTCTTAAAATATTTTAAGATGATCAAAATTTGTCATGGTTTTGGCGAACTTTCGATAAACAATCATGTTTTTTATTCAAAATCACATTCAACCGAATTACTTTTAAAATTATGAGCATGATAACTTTTGTTTTATTCTTCAACGTGACGATTTCTTGTTGATTCGAAAAAATAGCAAATATTTGATGAAACTCTAATCCGACGTCATTGTTCTGATATCGACAAAAACAATATCTATTACTCTTGTCACGCATTCTTCGCATCAAATGAAGACTGATGAATGGCTTCGGAAAGGGGCTTGACGTATAAAACGAAAAAAAAATAAACATACTACGATGGTTAGTCATAATTTCTGGATTTCAGAATGCAACCAGCAAACAACGGTGACCCTCAGAATCCCGACTTTGACGCTGCCAATCTTGAGCAGCATTTGTTTTACGATTTTCGAAATGGACCACCAAATCGGCGCTGGAGTTTCAGCGACTCGTCGCTTCCGGGCATGCCGATCACTGACATGCCGATACCCGTGACGACGGCGACTGGTGCCGTTGTTGCCGGTGGAACGCTTGACGCGAGCCTCGCTGCGTCTGCTGCTGCTGCCGCCTCCTCGCAAATGCCCGCCTCTTACTACCATAATCTCGGCCAGCTCGTGCATAACCATTTACATATGTCGAACCGCGAAATATCGGATTTTGATTGTGTTGCGGCCGCTTCAGCCGCCGTCACCTCAGCGGCACCCGTCGCTCCACCACCAGTAGCGGAAAGCGTTTTCAATCCGGAACCAGCGATGTGCCGACAGCCGATTAATCGCTTCCATCATCATCCATATGCCGATCATGGAGGTAAGAAATTCAGATAAAATCCAACAAAACTCAAAAGTTTAAATGTTCAACGTGTCCCCCCCTTTATTTTTTGGAAATGATTATTTAATTTCATCAAATTCAGATTAACACGCTTAAAAAAATTTTTTTGAATCCGGAGGTCTTAAATCTTTAAATTATGTTTACCTGAGCGCAAAGATTTCGATTTCCTGGCATTAATGACGCGCCATAGATTAAAGAATTTGTTTGAATTTCAAGGAGAAAAGCGAGATTACTTTTCTTTATAGTGGGGAATCCTCACTAGAATCTTCTTATTATCTAAAATTGAAACCTGCAAAATGTTGAAATCCTCCATTCTTTTCACAACGTCATAATTTTTAAATCTTTTTCTCGAAATTCTAGTAATTTCTAGTTTCAACTGTCTGGAAAGAAAACGCAATAGGTATAGAATGATGAGAGGAATATCACGGAAGAACAGTCCGCCCCCACAAAATTAATGAAATTCTGGATTTGTCAGAAAAAATTGAATAGACACATAAAGGAAAGTATAATGATAAGGATTTTTTGGACTTAGGTGACAGCTAGCTTTTAAAATATTTTTAATAAATTTTCCAAATGAGTTTTACTTACGCAGCCCGCTTGAGACAGACCGATCAACCTATATACTTTAATCCAGCTTACTCCTACGCCATTGGAAACAGGAGTGATATGATTAATAATTATGACAATAACTAAATCCCTTCTGTATTGTGTTTTATACATCATGTTACAATTATTTTTCCATAATCTACGTTTTCTCAATAGTTCAAAACACCAATAGCGTAGTATTTGATAAATAATAAGGCTTGAAGGTTCAACAATTAGTCTGGCTTTTGTACTCATGTCGAATGTAAACACGATGATGTATTTTTAGCCGAAAAAAATTTTTCTAGCGATATTGCCTAATTGGATTAAATAATTATGTATTATTTAATCTCATTGTTGTAGGTTTGTTCGACAATGAATTATTTGGCAATAAGGCGCGGTCTGTCTCAGCGCCAACTGTTGGTAATCATGGTAAAACTGATAGGATTACCGGGGTCCGAATTAGTAATCATATCATGTTTAGCTGCAAATATGGAGATGGGCGCTCGCCGCCGATTCCGCACCAACTTCACCGAGCATCAAGCAATGTTTCTGGAGGACGCATTCAGAGAGTCGCACTATCCGGACCACAAATCGAAAAAGGACATGGCTACATGCCTTAACATTCCGGAGGATCGAATTACGGTAATCATTCGAGTGTTTATCTTAATCATGCTGGTGGGTGAGAAACTACGGTAGGTCGCCGCCAGCAATTGCACATGTGGCGGTGTCGCGAGTTGCAATTTACGAGCCCAATATATGTCACAACAATTGCGGCCTACACCATCCCCAATCGCCCATCTCAAACCACTCCAGCACGCGGGGTTCCCGCAATTGATTTATGGATTTAAAATCATCATGTGCTTGTGACGCCGCCATATGTGATTTTAATTCTTTAGGTTTGGTTTCAAAACCGACGCGCAAAATGGAGAAGGAAGGAGATGCGCGAGAAGGTGTGTTAATCAAATATTACAATTTATATCATATAAGTGATTTGAGGAACGCTCCCGCGGGGATTTTCAAGCATCCTCCTGCTCTTTTGACTATTCCCCATTTGGAGGTCCTTCCGAAACTCAAATGTCTGTCCCAAACATTCCAATGATGACAGGATTCGCGGACCATCAAGTTGGTTAATATCAATGCTTCAGTTTCATATTGTTGATATTCAGGTGATGCCTGACTACCCAATGAAAACCAAATCTCCACCATATCAATCCTCGCCGGGAAACTGAACAATCATCATCAACATATTCAGCAATTTTAAATTATGTATGTTATAAGAAATTATAGGTTATCATCGTGTTACATCTAGTATCGAGATGAGCAGTATATACTATGTATAATAATCAGAACCATATTAATCTCTCTCATTCTCCCAATTGAATTACTCAATCAAGTTATGCACCGTCTATATTAAACATAAACATTTATTATTTGGAGAACAATTATACAGAATAAATGAGATCACATGGCAATTTCCAAGGGTTTTTGGTGTTTCGTTTTTTTTTCATTTTATGGTTATGGTGGAAAATTAAAACAAGCGACAAGAAGAGACAAGCTACCCGTGGAATCTGGGAATACAATTTGGCTTAAATGAGTTGAGTGTGAAATATAAAAGAAAATTTTCGGCAAGTTGGAACATATGGATCTCTTCGTAGTGAATATTTAAAGGCTCTCTTCCGATTTGGCAGTCACCGAGTAGATTTGATTGTCAGAATTCATCTGAAAGTAAGCAATTGTTGAAACACGCAAATGTGAGCGGAATTATGTTAGCGGGTCTGATTAAAACAGGGGTTAGTGTTTTGGAACAAAAAAACGGAAAATGGAAAATCGACATCGAGCCGATAACGCATGCTAGGTATCTAATAGACAGAATAAAATCTGAAAATTTTGAAAATCTGAAAAAAAAACGTACAATAGACCACAATTGGCTCTCTTCCTCTGATAGTGAATCATCCTTTAAGGTAAGGGTTTTTATAGTTTTCATTTAATCAAATTTTGTATTTAAAATCAATTTTATATTTTTTTAATTGCTAGAAAAAAAAACATATTACAATACAACAAAATTTTCACGCAGCGTGCTTTTTGAGAAAACGTTTTCTATTAATTAGGTTATCAATTTTTCTAGAGAACCTAAATTCACTGCAACTAAAACATATTGAAACAATGTATTTGCAGATTGAAAATGTCTATTACCGGTCCATTCGAGTCATTGCTATCCGTAGTATTCTTTTTGGTGCCGTTTAGTTCACCCATTGGTACACCGTTCTTTGATGGCACATTTCGATTCTCCGGCACATACGTTCTCTCGGTCTCGAAGCGATTTCGTGGTCTGAAAGTCGTCTCATAAATCATACATTAATGTGAAACACGACATACTTGAAGAACTCGATTGGAACTTTTGAGAGCTGACGCTTCACTGCTTCTTGAATCTCGCTGTTCAGGAAGCAGTAAAGAACAGCAATGAAAATCCCTTGACTGTGCTGGAGGATGGCTGAAGCGAGCATGTAAACCGAGCTCGGATGCTCGGGCTCGTAAAATAGCGGAATATTGGAAACGCCGAGCAATGGAACAAGTAATAAGGTAGCCTTGATTGTGCGCCAAATTTTTTTCGACTCTGCCGAGTTTTCAGTCCGCAATTTTTGCACAAGAATTACCACAATCATAAGCAAGAAGATAAGATTCATCTGAAAAAGTGATAGCATGAAACTTCGAAGATGTTGAGGCTAATTTTACAATCAAAACTGTTCCCATCGCCCCAGACAAAATCCATAAATGTGGTCCTTGAGCGTACGGTAACCAGCAGAATGAATTAGAGAGTTGTGACGATTTATACTCATGAACAATCGTCCAAGCGCTCACAATTATAAACGGAATTCCTGAAATAGAGTTGGGGTTTGGAAATGCTCTAGCTAGCAAAAAAATTAATCGATTTCAGTTTAGAAAATACATAAAGATTTTACCCCATCCGCAAGCCAAATATTTCCACCAACGGGCGTCGCTATGCCTCATCGCAAATACAGTAAACCGGCTGTACAAAAATGCTCCTTCAATGAGCATCCACATAACAGACGCAACTTGGAAGTATATAACGAGCCAGAGGATCAATTTGCATATCCATTCCTAAAAATTTTCTAATTGATATTGTTTATTGAGTAGTATTAAGCTCACAAATTGCCATAAAGGCGCTGGATGAAACGAAGTGCAATCGTGAAACAAATTTGTCGATTGCACAATTGTCCATATCGCAAGAACCGCAAATCGAAAAACGAATGCTGTTGCCAGATTTTTGTGTATTGATAGTCGCCGACACTATAATATTACTGAATGCTTCAAACGAAAAACTGAAAACCTTCTACCTGTATTGAATCAAACACAGAGAATAGAATAATCGCCGCGACAAGAAGAATGACTGATATAATTGACAAGGTCAGCGATACCGATATGACGACATCTCGGAGCATATCAGGACACTGAAAACTCAATGCTTAAACATTTGATTCGTCCCAGAGCAACAGCCCCCCCCCCCTTCCCTCATTCTGCCATTTAAATTTTTTTCCGCGAAATCTCACCAATCTGCAGAATCCTTGAATGCATTGCGAATGCTCTTCAACCACTTTAATACATTGCGAGTAATTGGATTCTTCCCAGACGCCGAGTTCGTTGCACTTTCTCGAGACCATATACCTCGCTGAATGAAATGAGCATAATTATTCGAATGTTTGGTCATGCAGCTTCTTCGTTTTGCTTTTTTCTCGGAATGGATTTTGGAAAGGATTCTACATTTTTTCAGAGAGATTAATGGGTTTTTTTGCCCGATTAATTAATTTTTCTTCTACTAACATTCATCATTTGTGGAATGCAAGAATCGGTGAAGCACCGTTAATCATGCCATTCTTAACCCATTTTATTTTCATTGCAGTTCGTCTTCATTGCTTTGAAATGGAAAATGAAAACGACTTCGCCGCATATAATTATAAATAATTATTCTCAGTGGTTTATCAATTCTACAAGAATTTGTCAATTCCAAGAAGGGTGATTCTCCTGAGATGTCAGCATTTTTGACGTAGTAGCAACAAGAAAACAATTCCCAAAAGATGAGAATTATAGTTTTTTCGCTTCATCCGTTTTGCCTCCTTCTGTCAAAACAATTCGAGGTCAAATTTGCATTTTTTTTCGTCTACTCTCGGATTGTTTATGTCAAAAGATGGATTTGTCGCGACAGCAAAGAGAGTAATAAAAACAACAAGAAAAAATTACGCAAAATATTTCTTTAATTATGCAGAGCTGTTAGTAATTACAACGAATTTTTAAAAGTCTAATTAGTTATTTATTTAAGTCGCTTACTTTGAATATCCTCGCATCCAGGTTTTGAAGAGCAAAAGGTGAACGGGCAGTACCTTTTGGCTAGCTGATTATACCCAGCCTTGCTCCAGCATAAGGACTTGTCAAAGTTCACCGAACATCCCCTGGAAAATATTACAAGTCATTATACCGAATAGCAATGTAACGTTGCTTACGCATAGTTGACAGATTGGTTGTTATGGAACAATTCGAGGCATGTCAGCCGTTCAGCTTTCACGATACTTGTCATTCAGAACTTCTGGAATAAACTACATTAGGGTCAAATCCATAAAAGGCAGTGGAAAAAATACAAAAGAGCAGAACGGGTGTAGCGAAATGAGGTCCGTAAAAAATCTCGAGGGGGGGGCAAAAAGTTTTGTGTAATGAAGTGTGACATGCTTGCAGTTGTCCCCGAGCTTTCTTCTCATTCCGGAAAAGGGGCAGTGGGCGATGGATAGAGGAGAGGAAAAAAAAATAGATTCGGCTGGGGAGGCCAATACATAGTTGGGTTAGTTTCTCGGAAAAAAAAACGCTGTCTTGGAACAAGCGAGGGGTAAAATACATATCGGACCATCCACCGGCAGGCCGGGATTACACGCCTCACCGGCACCGGGATCTTAAGTCTCGTTTCATTTCTATTTTCTGCTTCACGGTCTTCAGCTTCTTCCGCTCAGCTTGGGCTCCGTTCCTCCTCCCACTTTTTGCCTCTTTTTTTTGGTTGGATAGGAGGTGAAAAGGAACCACCACCAAAAACGAGCTGATTGAAAGAGAAGTGGGCGTTCTGGAAAGCAAAATTGATGCAGTTTGATCGATGAATAAATGGCGAAGCTCATCGCTTCAAAGTGGGGTACCGACGCAGTGTTCTAATCCAGTCAACCTTTTCAAAAAAAAAAGAATTTGTCTCTTTCTGCATTGTTTCGTCTTTTGCAAAAGCAACGAATCATGAAGTCAAAAAATGCGGAGGCGTTTGAAGAATTTATGGCGCTGCATATCAGAGTCTGACAGAGGGGGATTACATTCAGAAATTTTGGAAGTAGGAAGAAGTTTTTTGAGACCTTATACTGGGTAAAAATAAAGGGAAAAAATTCCTTATTAATATATAATGAAAATTTCAATTCCAAACCGAACACATTTTTTTGTGTATTGTCCGTGATCAAATTTCATAGGTATTTCGTTTTTTGACACCGCCGCGAAATAAAAATGACAAGAGTTCAGACAGTCTGAAATTGAAATTTACTATGTAAAAAGGTATTCTGAAAAAAATGAGAATATTAAATCAGATGTGTGTATTTTGATCAACACCTGGTTAACATGTGTACATCAATAATATATACGGCTATTAGTTGATATGGTATATTCTAATTATAGGAAAAATCGTCAAACTTTCGCGCAGAAAAATATATTAGAAGTAAGATCGCGCTTAAAATATGTCTTTTACAAAGAGTTCAAACTGATAGAAGTTTCACGACGAAAATGAGATTTTCAAAAAAAATTCCACTTTCATAATTGTGCGCCATCGTGTTTTCTTTCCTATTCCATTTATTTCTAAGAATTTATTGGTCGGAATATATCCCAAGAAATAAATAATGATGTGGGTGAATTTCACCGGCGAGATTGAAGTTTCAGCATTAAATATATTGACGAAGAAATAATCGAGTTGCAGGTCGGTTTAAAAAATGGTGTCACGCCTTTTATGGAGAAATATCATATAATGGAGAGTGGGAAAAAGAGTCCACAAAGTCCCCAAAAAGTTTTGGCTAAGAAAAAAAGGGAACTTCACAAAAAATCTTGTGTTGCAAAAAGAAATGTTTAAATTTCGTTACACAACGCATGAGATGTACGTGACATGTACCACTCAACCATTATCACAATCCCCCGTTTTATCACGTGGAATCTAGGTAATATAAGAAATTGGAAATCATTTGGCGAGAGCTCCCAAAAATTATGGTGATTCTTTATGGGGGCAATATGTGGGAATATCGCATATTTCAAAACTCGTCTAAAAATATTCCCCAAGGATGTTTGGCAAAAAAAAATGAGGAAGAAGGAATAGAAATGGAAATAATAGTGGTCACTTTTTTGTGTTTTAGGAGCCCCCCAAAAAAATATATATAGATATATGTGAAATATATGCATATGTTCAACTAACTAACTAACTAGCGAAGATGCAGAAAGGAAACGTTTGCCAGCATACGTGATTTCACAGAAAATACTTTTCCTCCTTGAAACTTTATTTATTTTAAGATGATGATGAGAATGGGTATTTGCTTTCAATATTATTGGCATTCGAATTTTTTCATATTTGAAATGGGCCCTGTCTCTCAAAATATCGGTTTATAAGCTTTAGACACAAAGTGCGATATAATGAAAATCTCAACAAGGTGTTCAAAAAAATTGCCCAAAATTGTTTCGACAATTGTTTCCTTTCCCAAAGTAAAACATAAGAAGATGAATTCACCTAACTATTTTTTTTTTCAATTGACTGCCTCCATCGTTAATGGGGACTCAGAAAGGGTAATAAACTGGCATTTAATGTCGAGTGTGTATTTTCATCAGGAGGAAATGAAAAAAGTTCGACTTTTGATCATTTAAGCACATTTTTTTCCGTGCATTTTTGTAGTTTTAAAGAAAGATTGGAAAATTTGTTGGGTGCTATAACGATATATGGAAAGAAAACCTGGGTAATCATATTTTTTAAACGTCTGCCAGATGCGGAATATTACCAGCGAAATCTCAAATTTTTTAAACAAAATAATAATGTACAACTGAAAGAAAATAGGGAGATTTCTAACAAAGTGTTCCGGAAATAAAGAAATTTTGGAAAAAAATGGAAATGAGGTATTCAGGTGGAAGTAAAGGTGGAGGTTGAATTTTAGCAAACCTTTTTTTGAAGAAAGAAGACGAAATTTCGAAAATAGGTTTGCGTCAGAAAAAGAAGAAAGTAACCAGAGTAAACTAGAATTTTCTTCAAGCAAATCGAAAGATCAAGATATTTCAAGCAAACTTTTCCGAAAAATTCCGAGAAATAATTTTTGATTTGGCATTCTCCTTGTTATGAACCTTTCAACAAGCTGAAAATGATTGCTGAAGCCCAAGCTGGAAATCTATGTTTTTTTTTTTCAATACATACTTAAGAAAAAGTCCAATGATTAATTCTAGGCATATACATTCCGGTTTCATTTCTGAAAAATTGTGTAACCGGCAAAGTTTCTTGACATGAAATATTTCAAAATGTTATTTCCGGCGATAACTAGGAATTGAATTCGTCTGGCAAAAATGTCACGGGCAGGCAAAAAAAAAATCTCGAATGAAAAAGAGAAGTGAAATGGACAAAAAATGGCGGGCACAGGCGTACAAAACGCGTTTGGACATATCATAAAAAGATGAAAGCGAGCTATGGGCTGGATGCGACTAATAGGTTTTTCGAAGCTCATATTATATTTTATTATACCCGAAACTCATATTATATTTTACATACGCCTTTAATCTAGCAAGCTGCAAAAATATTAGAAGGTCATTTGAACGCCAAATAATTTGCTGAATTTTAATAGGTTGACTACTGTAGGCTCACAGAGAACAACAATATTATGTTTTTGATTATTCTAAAGTATCAATTTCACTTTTTTATTTCAAAAAGTTGAAAATTGCTTTGTTTTTTTTTTGACAGGTATTCTAAAGAGGTGTCATCACGTTTTTTTTTTTTCAAAATAACGCATCTCACGTTTTTCGCTACTATGACATGCTACTTACATTGATGCATTAGAATTGTAAATGAAAAAGTCTGGATTCTAGAAAAAACTCGAGGTTAGTAAAACATTTATTAAAGGGAGGGAGGGATGAGCGACTTGATTCATGATGTGTTTAATATTTAATATGTGGTTTCTTTCAAATAAAAAAAAAAACAATTAAAAATAAATATTGCATGCAAAAGGGTTTACCAGGGAATAAATACTAATATTATCAATTGAGCTGGAAATACAAGATTGATCTGATAGTATATTTAAGAACAAATTCATCATGAACATATCTAGAAAATCTTAAAACACCATGCTTTATACGATATAAGAAGAAAAACAAGTCTATTAAAAGCTCGAACATCCTATTTTTGGAATCTAACGGTTTCCAAAATTTTTGCATGTTTGCCTCAACATTGCCTGAGAAATGTGCATAAATAGAATTATATATTAATCTTCACGGGTCCCCCCCATAAATCTTTATTAGTCTTGTTTACAGCACTTTAGATGAAAAAAAATTTCGGGACATGCAAAAAGCCGACTAATAATGAAACACACGTGAGAAGAAAATCATTGCCAGCACGAATTACTTGCCAAACAAGACAGATGAAGAAGAAGAAGAAAATGAAAGGTCCTTAGTGAGAAATAAACATTTTTGTTGTAAATGTGTGCCGATGGAGAATAAACGCACAACAATTCGCAAAGGAATTAAGAGTAATCTGAGGCGATTCAGAAGGTAGTCGTCGAATGAATTAGTCAATTTAAGTTGGAGAAAAACGAGCGCGCGCATCGAGAATTAAGATCATTATTGAGCAATTAAGTATATCAAAATACATAAATAAACCATCTATTTTTGAAACGACTAGAAAAGGGATTTTCTTCTCGTTTCATAATTTCAAAAAGAAACTGTTGCAGTATGTTAACAAATTAAAAAAAAATAAATAGCGCTCGTGAAATAATTTTTTCGACTTCCCAAATCTAGAAAATTGCGAGGTGGCTGAAAATGCTGACACTATACACATATTTGATAAAATTTATTATATTTGGCAGCCAAAAAATTATTTCGGTTTTTTTTTCTGGCAACGAATAAATGAAATATAGGAAATAATATTTTTGTTGCTTCCACCGAAATTATTTCGCGCATTAATGGGGGCCGACGACTCAAATTCATAAGTAAGCAAGGAAGTAAAACACAACTGTGTTCTTTATGTGCCTTATAAATAGCTCATCGCAAAAATAAATGTACACGCAATTTGACATCTTATAATTGAAAAATGACTATAAATAATGATGAACATTGGGATATTATATAAGTGCGCGCAAACGACTAGAAAATTTCGATGTTTTTTTTTCAAAACGCGGAACCATATTCTCGAATGGAGAAATTGTCTAAGAAGCAAGATGCGGGAATAACAATGAATAGCATAATTTTTTGGTGGCTGGAACACAGCAATCGTGAATACATAAATAGCGGCCATAAATGTTTTCTGGTGTTCTCGGGGCCCTTTTTGTTCGC